TGATACTCTTTTATTTATCAGTGTAAACATGGATAAATATGTGTTTTCAGTGTCATGAAATATCCAACTACATTATGCAAACCTAGCTAACGGTATTTGGCGTTTTAGTCTGACATTGTTAACAGCCCGTCAAGTAATTTTAGCCATGTTGTTATTTATAAAAAATGATTTCAATATTTCAGGATAGATGTTACTCAAAACTGGTCATATTTAAGCAAGCTTTGTCAGTGAGCTAACGTTATGTAGCCTACAGCAGCTACAGCTGACTGTCACTGGGCGAACATATCTATTAACAACCCATCTCTACTTAAAAACGACTTTATTGTCAAAGAACCCTGTTGTTTACATCTACACCTAGTCCGAACTTCCTTTGTAGGGTTGAATTTACAAATAGCTGGTGCAGACGAGCGTGTAATGCTGTTTTACAGATATCAATATATTGTCATATTGAAACCACATCAGATCATCCTGTTGAAGATGTAAAATATAAGTTTATTGAGCATTTTTTGTGACTTTTTTGTGTCTGTCTTATATATATATTTAGATTATTGAACATGGACAATATTGAAACATCAGACTTTACCTCAAATTTGACTAGGTATCCATTTTACTTCATTGCAAATGTGTTTTTCCGAATTTTAGTTGAGGTATTGAACTCGCAGTCTTGGTTATTTTATTGTTTGAACAACCTTATAGGAAAGTGTAAGGGTAGGAGATACATGGAGGCTTTATGGGGAGGGGGTGCATCAGTACTGTGAGATGGGTACTGGGTTTTAATGAGGGAACAGTAAGTAATAAGCAAAGAGGGGAACATCAGATCTGCTCTTTCAAAAGGAAAACTGTAGATGAGATGATAAAATATTCTGAAGATGGCTTTTTAAACTAAACAGTAAAGTTATTGAAAGATGACGGAGAGTTTTGCTATGTGTAGATGGTCTGTGAAATGTCAGAGAATGATGACAGAAAGTCGGTGGGTGTCAAGTTTAATACGTTGGTGTTTTTATGTGAGATACTTGTGTTTCCTAACATTTGATTTTGTTACTGTACATTTTTTTCCTGTTGTATATGTGGCATCAAGGCACTTCATATTTCTCTTTATATTTTTGTACGTCAATCGATCGTTCTAGTTCTGATTAAAGAAAATTATTTAATAAGATGTATATCCTAAATGAATAAAACATTGCGATTCCTAAAACCTACTTCTGTTGTGTTGAATACATTTGTTGCTAAACCTTAACAGTACATTGTATTTGCCTGCTTAGCAATGCTGTGATGTCATCCATCTCGGGGTGGAAGAAATAAATGGTGTGAATGAGTTAATTATTCAGTCATTAAGCTTTTTCTCTTCTTTACATCACAGAGAAGTCCCCACAACATGGTGTTTTCTCTCATGTCCAAACACAAGGTAGGAAGGTAGGAATCACTTACCTAAGAGATGCTTTACTTTCGGAGGTCTTTACTCTGGACAAAGCACTGCGGCAGAAATAAAAAAGCCTGATTATTAGCAAACAAAGACACTTTTTGTTTTGAGGTAACAAAACAGGAAACTTCAATAGTTTAGACTGAATATAAGGACACTGTTCGATGATGTAAATTGGGAAAAGAAGGCTGTTTACGTCTTATTACACCATCACTGATGAGATACATTAAAATGTCACGATTAAGATGAATAAGGAATGTATTACTATTTTGTCCTTTTAATATTACTCAATTCATACATTCAACATATAACCGTTACAAACAACTATGCTTGTGCTGCCCCCTTGTGGTACCTGACCTGTCCTGCAGGGCTAAGACACAGACAGACAGACAGACAGACGGGCGGGCGGGCGGGCAGGCAGACAGACAGACAGACAGACAGACAGACAGACGGACGGACAGACGGACAGGCAGGCAGACAGGCAGGCAGACAGACAGACAGACAGACAGACAGACAGACAGACAGACAGACAGACAGGCAGGCAGACGGGCAGACAGACAGGCAGGCAGGCAGACAGACAGACGGGCGGGCGGGCAGGCAGGCAGACAGGCAGGCAGGCAGACAGGCAGGCAGGCAAGCAGGCGGGCAGGCAGGCAGGCGGACAGACAGGCAGACGGGCAGACAGACAGACAGGCAGGCAGACAGACAGACGGGCGGGCGGGCGGGCAGGCAGGCAGGCAGACAGGCAGGCGGACAGACAGGCGGACGGACGGGCAGACAGACAGACAGGCAGGCAGGCCTGAACTACTGAATTTCCCCACGGGGATTAATAAAGGTCCATTTTATTTTATCCTATTTTACAGAAGCATGTTGCCCATAAACTATATGTCTCACAATGCATCTCATTTTGTGACATGCACACTGAAGAGACTTGCAATTATTTGCCCTAGACTTCCGCTAGTTAAGTTATTACCCTATCCGATAATAATCCAATGCAGAGGCAATAATATAATACATTATTTCATATATATTATGTATATTTATATAGTTACAACCGGCCCTTTGAGTGCAACCATAATGCTAATGTGGCCCACGATGAAATTGAGTTTGACACCCCTGATTTAGACTGTTCCACAATGACTAAGTGGACAAAGTAAAAGTGTGACTCTGCAGAAATCCAATAGAAAACACAGAGCATTAAATAACATGACGCCGAGACCATGAATGGCAATAAGCTTTTTATTTAAACATTAAGGCAGTGTCTTTTTTGTTTTTCATTTTACACTGCTATCCACAAAGCTTGCTGGTGGGCATGTAGAATTTAACCATGTGAATATTTATTTTATTTTTTGTAATACCAACCTTGAAGCAAGCCACATAAATATTTACATCTCTTCAGTTTTATATACAATCCTTGCTATTATACAGTGGGTTATAATAAAAAAAAATCATTATGCACAGAATGGTTGAACAATGTACTGTTTATGTCGATCCCCCCCACCCCCCTTTGACAGTCCAGGGAACACATCATGAATTGAACTCCGTCTCTTCACGTCTTGAATGATTACTTGAATTGATACAAACTGTAAGAACAATGAACCAAATGGATGCATGTTAAAATTTGTTTCAGTATACTTTTAAAAACAATGTTTTAGTCCGACATCAGTTTAGGGAACAGCTGGATATGGCTTAGTCTGTTTACCGTCACATTCTTCAATTTCATCAGTGGATAAATGATATACGAGCAGAAACCAATGTACAAAGCCTGGCTGTTTTTCTGCCATGCCTGCTGAAATTTAAAACCCTCCTTCAGTCTCGATAGAAAATGAAAACAGGCCGAAAAGATGGCTGAGCTTTCTGCAGGTGTGGCAGGTGGGATGAAGGAGGAAGAGGAGGTAGTCCTTTAACAGTCCTGTTTGTGAGAATCAACAGTGACAAAATGAGCGAGAGATGGAGAGGTAAATCTTCCTAAACCACTGACCGAGCTCACTGTCATCGCTGCAGTTTTTCAGTCAGAGGACAGAGTTCGTCCCTGGTCGCGCAAAGTCACAAGCCGAAAACATTTCATACATCATTTGCACAGAGGGCGACCTTTACAATGCTGCAGTAAACTGTGACAACATGTCAACTCGTGTTACATAAAACAACCAGAATGCTTTTGAATGCCTCCCCCCCACTTCTTCTGAACAGTACAAACACAGCAGATGCAATGAAGTACACTTGAAGCATGACATGGCCCGGTTAGCTGTGACACAGCATCAGTTTGAAGATGAATTCCAATAAGTGAAACAGTTAAAAGCTAAGGCTGTGATGGATTTCAAAGTAAAGAAAAAATGCACACAAAAAGTATTTTTAAAATTTTTCTTTTTTAAAAGAGGACATTTTTCCTTTGCAGTTTTGCTTTATCATAATTCCCTGCTTGGACAGTATTAACTGTCATGGGGGGTTAAAAGAAAAATTGTGCGTCACTTGGTAACTTCAGTACTGTATATGTAAAATAAATGGCACTTAACACTAGGAATATCTCATAACTGTACAAAATCTGCCAGGGTGAGGAGTCGGGTCTCAGCTCCCCCTCTAGGCAGTAAAAGGTCAGAGGTCAGACCGTCACAACAGCTCCTAGACAGGATCGCAGCAGGCCAGCTGAAGCTGACACCGCCATGGACCAAGGGTTGTAGAAAGATGGCTTTTTCACCTCTCTTTAATGCAGGTAAACTCCAAAGTGATGCTGAGGAGTTCGCCTTTAAGCAGCTTTAAGGTCGGTCTGCACCTGCTCGCAGCGGCTTAGTCCTCGTTCACTAAAATGTGATTGTCGCTTTGAGCGTGAGAGCGATAAAGAATATTGGTAGCAAGACCAAAATAAACAGATTAAAGGATACAGTGGGATTTATACGCTGTTCTTGAGTCCATTTTGCACCTGTCCCAGGAAACTGAATCTTAAAAATGCCATTGTGAACAGACTGACTACTAAGTGCTTAATATCCAAAAAACTTTCAACAAACACAGACATGATTAATATAAAAACAGTGAGAAAGTGTCACTTGTTTCAGTGCCATCCGTCTGGCAAATCATCTCTCCCCTTGCCTGAGATCAACAGGCCTTTGCTGTTCCTCAGGATCCCCCCCCCCCAATATATGACGACATCAGCAATGAACAGCATGTTTACCCTGTAAACCAATGATATGACCCTCCCCGCATAACAATCTATCCCCCCCCACCCCGGCCCCAAAAAAGATACATCATTGCAGATAATAGACAACAAAATGACACCATCAAAAGTTCACCATCAAAATGTACTAACGGTCTCAGCTCACGTTCCAAACACAGGACTGGACTGACTGAATTTAAAGAAGCAAAACAAAGAACCGAAACAAGAAAAACGAGATGTTGATTCTCCTCCCGTCACCTCGCACGTGTTCTTGTAGTGGCAGCACAGGCCGCCTGCACCTTGAGGACACCGTGAGAACTCCAGAGGGTCCTCAATGCAGGGGCCGCTGCTCTCAGGTCAGATCTGCGTCACAGGGGCCGACCCCGGGGTCCCTTCCACACAAGTGTCAGCACATCAGAGCGGAACACCCAGAAGGTGCAGGTTAATGTGTCTATATTGATAAGGCCAGTGAGGAAAAGTAGTAAAGTAAAAAAAAAAAAAAGAGAAAAAAAAAAAGTGATTTGTCCTTTAGGGTAGTCCTGGAGTGAATGCATAACACATAAGTGCAAACCCCCCCCCCACACACACACACACACACACACACACACACACACACACACACTCAGACACACACACACACACACACACACACACACACACAAACACACGGAGCAGCAGTGTCTCAGCTCATCGCTGCTTTGCATCTCGTTGTGTGTTAGGAGAAGGACATGATCCGATGGAGAAGTAGGAAATGCAGAGTGGAATGGTGTTGGTAGGTTTGCAGAGGTGTGTGTGTGTGTGTGTGTCTGCAGCAGCAGAGCGTTGGTTGACTGTTAGAAGGTTCTTGTGGTTCGATAGGTTCCCGGTCACTCGCTGTCAGACAGGGTCTCGTACTGAGACATGAGCAGAGGCTTGGGCTCCTCCTCCCAGGAGCGGCCCTGTCCAGGCCCCGGCACAGGGCCCCCCAGCTGACCAGAGGAGGGGGAGGGGGCGGACACTGTCCCGCTGGGGAAACGCATTATCAACGGATTACAGGGGAAGGGAGTTGGAGTCGAACCTGCAAAAGGCAGAAAGACAGAATTGTTATGCTGAGTTAAGGACACTTTCCTCTTTCCAAGCAACGTTACAACATATAAGTGAGGTTAGAATAGTTTACAATGTTTTCTTAGTTTTTATTTTGAAATCTAAAACCTCAATTTTAGATTTGACTTTTCAAGTGTTACAAAAATAACCTTGCAAATATTTGTCAATGAGTTAATAGTGAGTCTTCAGAGGGGGGGTTTTCTACCTGTGGATGAAGGCCGATCCTCCCACACGCGGTTGGTTAGAGGAGTCCTTCGGTTGCAGTCTCCCTCAGAGTGGACTGAGGACACGGAGGAGGGTCTCTCCCCCCCCGACAGACCCGGTCCTGGAGATTTAGCCTTGCGCCCATTAGAGCGCCCGCTGCCCTTCGAGGACTTTCCACCACCTGCACACAAAGATCACAACAGCTTGAACCCTCAGTGTTAACAATCCAGTGCAAAACTATTTCTGTTTTGAGCTATGTTATGTTGCTTTAAGAGAAAAGACACAGTTGCGATGCCAATAGGTCACTGACTAAAGATCTCAGCTTAGTTGTAAGAAACTAAAATATGTGATCCAAAGCTGGGGCAAACACAGAAACAATTGAAAGCCTTATATTGCACCTTGGAGAACAACACATGCAAGAATATATTGGCGTGAAGGAGACATTAAAATACAAAATGTCTGAGGGGGTTGCACCTTGTGAGAAGAAGTCTTCACCACGTCCGTCGGCTGCAGGCACCCCCCCCGGGCCCATCAGGTTGGAGGGAGATCGTTCCTCAGGCTGATCATCATATTTGCCCATTAAAGCCTTTCTTATAATGGCCTCCAGGCCTATGGAGTTACCGGGTTGCTCTGAAGCTGGATGGGGGCGGGGAGTCACAGGTCCTGTGGAGGAGGAAGTGTTACACAGGTTAGAGGGAGAGAGGGACGGAAGCACAGGCGTCGGTGCAGGGGTATAAACCAAGGGGTGAATGTCTCTCGGAAGTCTTGCAAGTATCAGATGTCACAAGTGCCCAGGCAATGAACTCATCTGTGTCATCTGATAACGCAGGTCAAGTTCATTTCCTGTGTAAACGCCACCTTTCACAGAACCTTAGAACCTCAAATTATTTCTGCTCTACTGTAAACACAAGCAGTCGGGTAGGTTATTAAGATAAACAATGTCGAGGATAAGGGCGGGGATGTGGAAAACTGCTACCTTTTTGGGGTAATTTAGCTTGCTCCTTGTGTTAAAAGTACTTTTGCAGTAGTAAGCACTTACTTTTCAAGCACGTAAAGCTCTGCAACTAAACAACTCATGCGGTGAAGTCCAGGTTGTTAGGCTACAGATTATGCTGCATACATCCACTGTTGTGTGTCATAAAAGGCAATTCTCTCACTATAAATCAATATAATAGTAGATGAGCAGTGGCGACTGGTCATTAGGGGCAGCCCCACCTAGTGTCAGCAGAAAGTATTAAAATAATGATTACAACAAAATGCAAAAAATAAATTAAAATATATATAAAATATATTTTAAGATCATGTTTAATCATCTGATTCATCAGTACATTGCTGTTTTAGTATGTGTTCTTCTAATTAGTGTCTACAGTGTGTGCCTATTGAGCTGTTTAGAGCCATGTGGGACAAAACCCGATCCTGCCCCTCCCTCTCACTGTCTAAGTGAACGGTGACTGTAAAAACTACACTGCGCATGCTCAGAGTATTTTCCTATTTAATGTGTGTGGCAAAGAATAATGACCATAGGGGCATAGAGCTGCCATCCCCACCATACGTCATCTCACATAATTCAGAGCTGATTGGCTGTAAGTACGTGTGCCGCGAAAAGTGTGGTGTGTGAAGAGGAGGAGAGAGATGTGTCCTAAAATCAGGAAGTAAGCTGCGCATTGTTTCCCTCGACAAAAAAGCAATGATATTTCTCCATAGGATTTTAGAAAATAGCTCAAAATAAGATCTGTGGGAAACGTAGCTGTTATATAAATGTACATTTTGTTCAGCCGGATAATATCCACATGTCTACCCTACTTTTATAATTTTTGAATCATAAATCTATCATTTAGATTTATGATAGACTTTTGAAACTACAAGAACATAAGGAGGACTTTTACAAAAAAGTAATAGAGATTTTTGTCCAGAAGGATAGGCAAATGGACTTCATCTTCAAGTCAAGGTAAGACCACAATTTTATTGAAAATGGGATCTTACTAAGAGAGAACAATTCAATATTTAAATGATCAAATTAAATGTGTTGGGTATCCTTCTGTTGAACTGTCTGTTTAAAATTAATTGTAGCATCAGACAAAAGAGGCTTTTGAAAATAATATTATATTTCGATTTAGGTCAAAATATAATATTTGTAAACCTGAAGAGTCAGTGCCAGTGCCTCACCAGCCATGAACCTCACTGCAGAAGCTTATATATATAGACATCTAAGTTTTTTGTGCCCCACCACTTTTGTACATATAGAAACGCCACTGTAGATGAGGTTTAAAAACATTACCTGCATTTGTTGACGCTGGCATATTGAAGATTTCTGTTCCTGGTTGACCAGCATCTGAAAGTGCCAACAGGTTTTTTTTATTAAAAGTCCATTATTTGTTCATATTTTGAATTGTGCACTGTTGCCTGTGCTGAAGTCAGACTTACTGAAATCACCGTCATTTCCCACCACCGTCATCTTCTTAATCATCTCCTGTTTCTTTGACCTCACAATATCCGAGGTGCTCTCGGTCAACTTGCTGAAGAAAGCCGGAGGCTGTGAGGTGTTCGGAGGGGAGCGGGAGCCCATTCTACAAGACAGGAGAGACAACATGAGATAAAGATTTGATGATTTGGGATTGTCGAGGCTTCCTCATTGAAAAAAAAAGCAGCGATAGAACTAAACAGGAAACTTCCTCAGTTTCAAGCCCCTCCCATAAGCTTTCCAAGAGAGGCTTAACAAAACGAAACATGATAAATAGAGCCCTTTTTAAAAAAAAAGGAAATCAGCATCCTTCTCTGAAAGCCCATAGAGTGGTGAAGTCCCTCCCCTTCCGGTGGACCTCCATGGGACCTTATTTCGAAAAAATGATGTATTGAAGTAAATGGAGAGAGAAAGATTATCTTTTGATCCCGTTTGAATTGTGCCACGAATTACACATATGATGTTTGTCAATTTAAAAGATAATTTTGCAAGTCAAAAAAAAATATGTGTCGTAAAACTGCGAAGTAACACATTTGTTTGTGTGAAACGCTCAATGAACTACAACTCTGGTCTCGCAGAACAACACACGTTACCAAGATGGCCGTCACTACTGTCTTGTCAACAAAACGATTGACTACCCTCACTATCACCACAATGAAACACGTCCAGAAGAATGTCATGCAAAGCTGCCTGCCTTCCTTTGATTCTCTCTGAACAGCCTGGTCTTTTTAATGTTTAATGTCAACCATTTGTGCAGATAGCATGAAGTAGAAAAGATTGGCGATCGCTGGTATGATAACAACCTGGTACTAAGCACACAGGCATCTTGTTAAAGTTATCTTATCTTAGCCAGCGCCATATAGATAGATGATATCTATATGGCGCTGATCTTAGCTATCTCTTAGTGGAGGAAAACAATTGTGACATCACTTACGCGACTCTGGGATTTGTAGTCTTTCTAGTTGCATATTTTTCATAGTCTTATATTTCAACAGTTTTACAACAAACTGTGACTTTTTTGACATGGAAATTATTTTTTAAGATTGACGAACATCATATGTGTAATTCATGGCACAATTCAAATGGGATCGAAAGATAAGTTTTCTCTCTCCATTGACTTCAATACATTATTTTTCCGAAATAAGGTCCCATGGACCGGAAGTAGATGGGCGTGACTTCGCCACTCTATTAGGTCCATCTTCAACCTCAATGCAACATAGAGACATCTGAGCAATATGACTGAATTGAAAAAGGAAGTGATGTCCATGTATAAAAGCTTGCATGTTGTTGAAATAGATGTTCCCTGTCTTGTAGCATTAAAAAACTATTCTAACACTTATCTATGTAAAGGTCCTACATTTCAGACCTGCTAATCGAAATACCATACAAGCTAAGTCCATTATAAATTGGACATGTTGAAAGATAGTTTTGTAGCCGTGTGTGTAAATCCACAGCGCTGTTACCCTTGCTCCCCCTGCTCGCTGCAGTACGAGGCCCCTCCCTGGACTTCAGGTTCAGAGCTGGCTCCAGCAGGAGACACCGGCTCGATGCCATCGTTACAAACACTGATGGGGGAAGTCTTGGGCTGAGGAGGAGACCTGCAGAGAAAACAGATACATTACATTAAGGATTACAACAAGACAAACAGATGAATGAGTTGTTTCAATAATGGACATTAAGGTTCATGTCAGGGTTGCCAACTTTGGGTACCTGGCTGGAGTGAGATTTTGATATCATGGGTTTAATTACACATATGCGCACGAAATGACTGCTATCGTGTCAGCAGCGGGACCATAGCATATATATAGGATATATATACAATATATACAAATACACAATATTGGACACAGATAAAGGGCACAAAGTTTCATTCACTAATGAAAGTCAAACATGGCCAGCGATTAGGTGTGGCGCATTTATCATAGGTGATCAGAGCTAACTGCCTGCATGATAAATGCGCCACACCTAATCGCTGGCCATTCAGCCACAGAGCTCCCTCTATACAAATCAAACTGTAGACGGTGTGAAAGCACCTATTGTTTTAAATAATGGTCAGAATGTGACCTGTGAGCCTTCTGAATTACCGTGGGACAGCACATTCTAAACTAAAATGTTCAATCAATAAAGTAACATCTTATCTTAATAATATCTTCATATTAATAATAATAATAAATCATACAGTATGTGTCCGAAAGGGAGCAGGAGGAAGCAAACACAAAAATATACTGCATATTAAAGCAGGTAAAAGTATGAGCATAAAAAATAAAGAAGTGTAATGTAAACATTTACATTATTATTATGGTTATTTAATATATGAAGACTATATATTATTGAATTACAAGATTAGATATACTTTAGTTGATCTAAAATATTGATGTGTTCAAATGCTCTTCAAAACACAACTGCAAGTCCATGAAACTTGTCTTTCTGTATTTGTGAATGAAGCGCCATCTCCTGGTTAAAACCTGAAATTGAAAATCTGGCAACGCCCTCTTGGAAAATAGTGGGAGGGCTTAACATTCCTCGATACTGATCTTAGGCAGGTCATAGGCAGGAAGCTGTAAACTGGAAGCTGTAAACTGGAGTCTGAAATGAGGTGCTACATCTGTAGTAAATAAAAAGGGCGACCTGGAGCCAATCCTGCAATTTCCCCACAAGTGAAAGAGTTGACGTGCTGAACACCCAACCCCTGCAGGGGGGTCTGGGGGGATTCTCTTTTGAAATACTAACATAAAATACACATTCTGGTACTCTCTTGAGAAGAAAAATAAATAAATCTATTACTACACGACATATTTAAAAAAATGAATGCCATTTTAGTTTTGTGTTACTTTGTTCTGAAAGCTGAACCTGCTGCTCCTCACAGAGAGAAGAGGGAAGAGGCTGTGTGAATTACTTTACAATGTGGATAAGGGTGGATAGTCCCCATTGTTCTGTGTGTCAAAATGAAAGACAGCCCACACACCTATCAATCATCAAACCGTGGGGTCTTATTTCATTACGTGTTGATTTCTATCAACACGTAATGTTGTATCGATGTATATAGAGATGTACTACAGCAAAAGTATTCTCCGTCGGGACTTCCTGCAACAACGCAACGCTGTTATCTTGATTCTGATTGGCCAGAAGACATTATCAAAGATGTTCTATTGAGAAGACGATCACCACCTGACAAAAGTTTTCAAAACCGTTTCTAGTCTTCGGTATTCTTGTTTTTGGCGTGAGAATAGTTTGGGCAGCGTGAGAGCGTGAGATTGAGAGTGAAAGCGTGTTTCACACGCCAGATGCGTGAGAGTTGGCAACCCTGTTCATGTTCTGCTAAAATCTTAATATTTGAAACACTTCTGCATAAACAGTCTTGACCTTGAGCAGGCGTGCTACTCTAATAGTGAGCACTGTTTAATGGAAGGATTATAAATAGCATTTGTTCTTGCCAAGATGCATGTTTCAGAAGTAGTGAGCAAAGACACATGCATTATTCTGCACGAGTTGTGTGAGAGTTTGTAAAAAGCTGTTTATAAATTCATAAAGGCTTTTCCCTTTTTTTTCTCCTCCTTAAATTCACCATGGAGGCAAGTGTTCATCAAGAATTCAAGGTAACACAGGGCGACTATTTGATATACAAATGGTTATATGCGAGGGAAGTAATCAGATAAGGAACATGTAGAGGAATTGCCCACCCCATACATTTAACATTGCATTGATTCCTACCTGTCTCTGTTGCGTTCTCCACAGTGGGACTCTTGATATCGGGACCCTTGGGCCAACTCTTGTGAGGTGGGGGGGAGCTGGGAGGCACTGGGGGGGCGGGTGAGGTCCAGGACAGGAGAGCCGTGGTAGCTCTGCTGCTGGCTCTGCCTGGTGTAGTCTTTAGTTATCACCTCCTGTTGGAGTAAACACATCCACATCAGAAATGGGACAACGTTGGATTGCATCATTGCTTTAGTTAAGTACAAATAGCAATACCAGTGTAGAAATACTCTGTTATAGGTTAAGTACTACTTTACAAACAGTAATAGTACTAATTCCATAGAAATGCCAAATGAGGGATTTTTGATAAATACTGTGCATATTGCCCAGTGGCTTTTGAATTTCACCAAGAGATCAATAAAGCGTTCTCTTCACCTTTAATACAATTATTAACCTGCTATGTGTTGATTATATTTTTTAATTATGAATCTGAATAAGAATTTTCAAAGTGATTTAAGCTATAAAATAAATGTAATAGAGTGAGTACAATATTTCCCAGTTGTATTGTAGTGAAGAAGCATCAAGTAGCAAGGAACTAAAAACTGTTAAATAAACTAAAAGTTCCTCAAAATTGTACTTTTCAAGGTTCTTGAGAAAATATAATGGCCACAACCGTCTTTCACACATTGAGCATCATAATTACTTGAAACTACCATCACGTTTCAACACGTCAATCCACTTACGAAACCTGCTACATACATATTAGGATCTAAATATTGTTGTTGTGTATTTTGTGCCATTTGTATTGCAGTGGTTGGGGAACTTACACTGATGTGCTGTGCCAGGGTGACCACCCGCTGGCTGCCTTTAACACTGGGGGAGGAGGGCTGCTGGCCCGGAGACAGCCTCTCCTCAGACGGGGGACGGTACAGACCGTGTGTCTCCATATTCTGTTGAGCTGTTGAACACACACACACACGAACACACACACACACACACACACACACACACACACACACACACACACACACACACACACACATTGGTAAAAGTTAGTTTTCTTTTGAGTCCGTGGTGACACAATTCAAGTTCTTGAGCCAATGAGAAACATGCTTGATTCAAAAAGTGCTTGTCCACACATTAGGATTAAATGGTGGTTGTGCAATTAAACATTTCATGTAGCATCTGCACATAATAGCTCTTAGGGACAAGCTTTCACAGAAACATACTATATGACAATGTGTGTGACAAGCTACTTCAGATATTTTAAATATTCAAAAATGAACTCTTTGCATGCAGACCAAAAAAAGACTAGCTTTGACCAGAAATGATGCTAAAATAGACTGGTTTTGCATCAGTGACTCGTAAATGAAGAAGTCGATTTATAATAGTTCCTCAATCAACAGATTAGTAAAAAAAAAGAAAAAAAAAGGTCATGCCTTAGAGACCAGAAGAATATAAATATATTTACTGTATCCTAAGATAAAATAAACTATAAATACTAACTTAACTCGAGATGCACCCATTCATGTTTACCCATAAATATGTGAAATTGCTGTTGAACCTGTGTGCCTATTTCAAGACTATTTTTCTTCCTTGTTTTCTTACACAACTCTTGCACTACAGTATTAATCTCAGGAGAGGATGATGTAAGTGGAGCAGAGCAGACTGTATGGGCCTCAGACGAGTCCCTAAAGGGACAGCATGATGTGGTTTCTGTTGTTAGCTAGCAATGACAAAAAGACTGAGTTCATTTCAACTAAAAGCTTTAAGTAATCTGCATTTCCCTCGGGCCCTGTCTACTAGTTTTTCAATAGAGGGCCACATTAATAAGTCTGTGCGGCAGTCTTGTCTGTTTTCAAAGGTATGCTTCCCATCAGCATGCAGTCTCACTTTCCCTACAGGCCCGTCATACACGTGACACATTTCTTTATAACATAAAATAATCACATTCCACATGACGGACAAACTCCCAGAGGTTTGATTGAGAGAGATGTGTTGAGTGTGGCATGTGTGAAAAAAGAAAAAAAGCATAAATTACAGTGAACCATAAAAAGGAACATGCTGAGATTTGGGGGGCAGAAGCTGCAGTACCCCCCTTCCCTTGGATGGCTGAAAGACTTTTCCACATCCCTCCCCTTTCCCATCCTCTTCCTCTGCATCACCGCCGCGCTGGGACCCCAGGGAGAGTCAGTTTGGTGGTTGGTAAGGCTTCAACGCTTATAATGTACGGGACTGTCACTATGATTCTCTTTTTCAATTTAGTCACCTGGGTTACATGTGGTCATTGTCCAAAGTAGTGCCCAGCGAAATGTATTTCATATATAAGTATCTACATACAGGACAGAGGTGCAGTAGTGAAGTACAGACACTGCATGTATAAAGTGTTTGAATTACAGGCAGTCTCATTTAACATGGGATATAAAAGCCTCCTGCCGTGAAATGCCTTTTTAAGTGCCTTAAATATTTTTGGTCACGCCCACTTGAATGAGGTGAAATATTCAGTTTAAAGTAAGCAGCCGAATGGGAGGGAGGAGGGGCGCCACATGTTAAATTCAAGTCACATTCTGTACGAAAAGAAAATGAAAATGAGCAGCAAAGGATGTTCTGCCTCAATGTCCTAACATCTTTCTTAAAATTAAACCTTAAAGGACACCTAGGATCTTCTTCATGGAAAATTAAACATGTTGTGATAGTTATAGTGATAGTGTTAGTAATTATTAAATAATAAATGCTATTAACTGCCTTCATTAAATCTGAGCCCGTCAGGTCCAATTAGGACAGGCTTATTTTCCAGAGGGCACCCTCGGTGGCCTTTAAGTTTAAGAAGAACTAATACAAAAAAAGCTAAAAAGTATAGCATTGAAGGAAAAATAATGTAAATGAATTGGGCTGATTTGATAATGCCGACCACCACACCGTGCAATAGGCCACAGACTGACGGGGGAGGGTCTGGGTGATGAGGACCCTGGGATCCAGAGCGTCTTACCATCAGTGGCGCTGCTGGCAACAAGGGAGCCCGTCTCTGCCATCCCCGTTTCACAAGAAATTTGACGCATAATAACCGCGTTTATGAAGTTGGCCGCAGTCATGGTGGTCTTACCGAGTGCTCGGAGCTCTTGTTCCTGAATGGACATCGCTTTGTTTTGAGTCTTTTCCCTACTAGGTGTACCACTTTCTCCGCGGCCAGGGGGGTTATCCGACTGGTGAGGCAGCAGGTGCTGGGGCCGGCCTGAAGGCGAGCTGTAGGACCCGGGGTACATCCCTCCTGGGCTGGACAGTTTGGGGTCAGATTTACTGGAGGGCCCGTGCTGGTCCTGCATGTGCTTGGGTAGACCACCCCTGTTTTTGCCTCCATCGCGCTCTTTGGCTACACCCGAGTCCATGGCAGGTTGGTAGGCCTCAGGGGGGACACCTGTCCTCTGGAGGTGGCCAGGGTAACCTTGGTAGCGGGCCGACCCGGAGGACATGGACCTGGCAGGCCACAAAGAAAACATGCTTAGTAAACAAGACAATCAAAATCCTTTTTACAAGAGAAATTAGCTCAGGCAAATATCACTATTTTGTCAGCAGAATTGAAATCTAGTTTACCGAAACACAGAGCCGGAGTGGTCGCTGACAGAAAGACTCTTGCCCCCGGTGTTGTGCAGGACGCTCGGCCTCTGCTGCACGTTGTCCTGGGTGCGAGGGGACACGGGGGAGTGCTGGTGGCTGTACGGTTGGGAGGAGGGTCTCACACTGCAGCTGCTACTGCTGGCCAAGCTGTGCTCTGTACCTGAGGGGAACAAACACATTCATTTTCATTTACTAATGCATTTTTCCCTTATTCCCAACACTTCAGTTAATTTTAATTTAGACCCCGTTTAGTTCAATTCATGAAGAATTCTCAAATGTTGTATTCTTTGTTCACTATTGGGGCATGCAAGAAAAGACAAGATTCCTTCATAATTCAAGGTAACATAAGGGTAAGTTATTGATATACAAATGGTCATTTTGCAAGTAAAGTCACCCTTCTACAGTTTGATTAATGTCCATAATACAAACTTAATTGATTTGTAGTTTATATTAATGTAATGTTATCTTTTTTTGTAAGCATAAAAATAAAAAACACACCTGGTCTCCAGATGGGCGCATGCTCCACATTCCCCATAGACCCGCCCTTCTCTCGGTCCCGGTCTCTGTCCCTTTCTCTCTCCCGGTCCCGTTCCCTCTCTCGGTCTCTCTCCCGCTCTCTTTCCCGATCTCTCTCTCGGTCGCGTTCCCGGTCCCTCTCTCTCTCCCTCTCTCTGTCACGCTCACGGTCTCTCTCGCGCTCCCGCTCTGAAGATGCGCCTTGCATCTTGTTCATGTGCACGGAGCCAACTGTACAGAAAAAGGGAAAACAAATGATTGTAAAAACAACACAACTGCAACACATTTATCAGAGAGAGCTTTGTTGTGAACAGAATCATACCAGGTGAGATGGGGGAGGTGGTGTAAGGCCTGCCAGGGAAGGAGGCTGCTCCCCCGGGGATGTAGGTGATGCGGTCCATTGGGCCTCCGGCGGCCCCCGCAGAGGGAGGGACCAGGACAGGTAAGTGTGGCACCTGAGAAAGATCGATGATTCCTAGGGGACACACATTTAAGAAAGTTATAGAAGGACCCCGATAGCTGCTCTGGATGTGTTGTGGTAACGGATGAATAAAGTTCCCATATTGATCCACATCACAATATTTTATTTCAATTGGTTTGAGGTTTTTCTTATATTATGAGGGAAACAAAGAAATGGTTTGAGTTTAACACCAAAAAGATTGATAATAATGGATTGACTACATTACATGTCATTTGTTAGATGCTTTTATCCAAAGCGACTTACTTATTCAGTACTGTGGACAATCCCCACAGGAGCAATTTGGGGTGAATTGTCTTGCCCAGGGACACAACGACATAGTGACTGCAGTGGGGTTTGAACCTGTGACCCCCTGATACAAACACCAAGGCTCTACCCACTGACTAGAAGGCGAGACTCTTGTCCTCTTCTTTACTGAGCATTTCAAGTCTCTAATGAATGATGCAAGTCATGTTCCTATAAATACTTGCTTTTGTTGTCCATGTTATTTGTATATATTAATCTTTCAATTAAATTCTTTACAGTTGAATATAACGTAACCAAACTCACTCACTGCTTGTTTATTGACTGTACCACTTTTGAGCAACTGAAAAGCATGTCAACTTTTTTTACAATAATTGTTTATTAAAAGGACAAATGGATGATAACTGCTGTTGCTTGTAGGCCTGTCACGATAATTAATTTTGTTGGACGATACATTTTCCCGGAAATTATTGCGATAAACGATAATATTGTCGGCACCGTTGTAAGACCATTTTAGACCACTGACATAATGATAATATATAATAAGTACATCCTTTCAAACATAACTTTGTATTGAACATTCAACATTGCAAATGAAATGTGAAATAATATTCAAATATATAAATGATATAATAAATAAAACAAGTACATTTAATTATAACAAATTAATTAAAATCACACACAACCAAAACAATCAATTAAATAGACTCAGGCTGGAAAACAGAGCTCTCTCTCTCATATACACACAGTGGGGCAAAAAAGTATTTAGTCAGCCACCAATTGTGCAAGTTCTCCCACTTAAAAAGATGAGAGGCCTGTAATTTTCATCCTAGGTATACCTCAACTATGAGAGACAAAATGAGAAAAAAAATAATCCAGAAAATCACATTTTTAAAGAATTTATTTGCAAATTATGGTGGAAAATAAGTATTTGGTCAATAACAAAAGTTAATCTCAATACTTTGTTATATACCCTTTGTTGGCAATGACAGAGGTCAAACGTTTTCTGTAAGTCTTCACAAGGTTTTCACACACTGTTGCTGGTATTTTGGCCCATTCCTCCATGCAGATCTCCTCTAGAGCAGTGATGTTTTGGGGCTGTCGCTGGGCAACACAGACTTTCAACTCCCTCCAAAGATTTTCTATGGGGTTGAGATCTGGAGACTGGCTAGGCCACTCCAGGACCTTGAAATGCTTCTTACTCCTTCGTTGCCCGGGCAGTGTGTTTGGGATCATTGTCATGCTGAAAGACCCAGCCACGTTTCATCTTCAATGCCCTTGCTGATGGAAGGAGGTTGTCACTCAAAATCTCACGATACATGGCCCCATTCATTCTTTCCTTTACACGGATCAGTCGTCCTGGTCCCTTTGCAGAAAAACAGCCCCAAAGCATGATGTTTCCACCCCCATGTTTCACAGTATGGTGTTCTTTGGATGCAACTCAGCATTCTTTCTCCTCCAAACACGTCTAGTTGAGTTTTTACCAAAAAGTTCTATTTTGGTTTCATCTGACCATATGACATTCTCCCAATCCTCTTCTGGATCATCTAAATGCTCTCTAGCAAACTTCAGACGGGCCTGGACATGTACTGGCTTAAGCAGGGGGACACGTCTGGCACTGCAGGACTTGAGTCCCTGGCGGCGTAGTGTGTTACTGATGGTAGCCTTTGTTACTTTGGTCCCAGCTCTCTGCAGGTCATTGACTAGGTCCCCCCGTGTGGTTCTGGGATTTTTGCTCACCGTTCTTGTGATCATTTTGACCCCACGGGGTGAGATCTTGCGTGGAGCCCTAGATGGAGGGAGATTATCAGTGGTCTTGTATGTCTTCCATTTTCTAATAATTGCTCCCACAGCTGATTTCTTCACACCAAGCTGCTTTCCTATTGCAGATTCAGTCTTCCCAGCCTGGTGCAGGTCTACAATTTAGTTTCTGGTGTCCTTTGACAGCTCTTTGGTCTTGGCCATAGTGGAGTTTGGAGTGTGACTGTTTGAGGTTGTGGACAGGTGTCTTTTATACTGATAACGAGTTCAAACAGGTGCCATTAATACAGTTAACAAGTGGAGGACAGAGGAGGCTCTTAAAGAACAAGTTACAGGTCTGTGAGAGCCAGAAATCTTGTTTGTTTGTAGGTGACCAAATACTTATTTTACTGAGGAATTTACCAATTAATTCATTAAAAATCCTACAATGTGATTTCCTGAATTCTTTCCCCCCATTCTGTCTCTCATAGTTGAAGTGTACCTAGGATGAAAATTACAGGCCTCTCTCATCTATTTAAGTGGGAGAACTTGCACAATTGGTGGCTGACTAAATACTTTTTTGCCCCACTGTATATAAATAAATGTGAGCACACATTGTCTCACAAGCACAAAAAAACTCCTTAAAACAACAGTCAAGTGTACAGTCCACTGTCCGTGTCCATACAAAGACCCAGATGCCTCAACAGGCCATATCCAAATCTGTATTTCAAAGATTTCGAACAAGGAACACCAACATGTTTGCATTGTCGGGCAAATGCATCTTTGATTGCAAACTGTCGGGAAGGTGGGGGCTCTCCATCTCCAGCTGCTGTGTTTGCTCCCAGCTGGGAAAACGGAATGGGGTGGTTGTGTTTCAGGTGCAGTTTAAGGTTGGTCGTATTGCTAGCTTTTGTTGCTACCTTTTTAAAACAAATGCGACACACACCCCGGTTCATTCAAGTCCGTAGGTTCGCCTCGTTTATTTGGCTTGAATCCATAATATTAGGTTTTGCAACCACTTCCATTTAACTTCAAATTCCCCTCGATTAAGTCACACGTTGTCTCCTGCTTGTCTCTATATTATTAATTTGGCTGCTACACTGCTGCACGCAGAGTGTCCTGACCTGGCTGTGTCGTGGGCTGTGTGTGAGCCCCGCCCCTCACAGCGCGCCGGGCTGGCAGCCACAGCCGCCGGTCTAAAATGCTGGTCCCATCCTTATGTAAACAAACACGCATGTAAACGGCAATTTATCGAGCTCAGAAAAGTTATCGAGTCCATTTTTATTTATCGTACGATAAGTCAATTTATTGATTATCGTGACAGGCCTAGTTGCAAGTTGATTTATTTGACGCTTAGCCCGATAAATGACTCAGTGAACACTGACGACAACCAACTGTCCCATAATTCACAATGCTCCCTCCTCCAGCATCTTTTAAGTATCCCCCACAATTGCTTGCCAGAAAAATGCCACCAAAGCTTGGCATAGAACTTGCAGCTAAATAAGAATAGATAAGGTATAGGATGGATATAATACAAAATATATAATAGACATATTAAGATATAGAAGTGTGATCTAAAAAAGCAATCTAGTAATCCATTATCCACCAGAATTGCAGAGGTAGATACTTGGTCATGTGGGCCATTCATGTTTCATCCTTTATATATATTTCATCTTACAGGTGATTCTGTTATTTCAATTATTCAGGCAACATGCTGTTGCTTAACAATGCTTTCAGCTCCCAGCAAACTCCATCTCTATGTTTGTGCTGGGATAGTCTTAAGTTCAACTAAAACAAATAGATTTTGAGAGTGAAGACAACCTAAGACTCAAATGCCAGTAGGTGTTGTCACGTCAGTTATCCTTACCACGTGGGGCTTGAGAGTAGGGCATCTGAAGGGGCTGGTCTCGAGGGGTGAGGCCCCTCAGTAGGTCAGAGCGCTGGGCGGCCATGGCAGCCGCTGCAGGCCACTGGTGCATCTGCTGTGAGGTGATGTAGTCGTTGAGTAGCGTCTGGCGGTTCTCCAGGGCCGTTGTGTCGGGAAAGCCACGAATAAGGTAGGGGTAGGGGTGAGGGTACGCTGGGTTGGGCGCTAGGTGGCGAGGCAAGTAGTAGGCCGCTGTGTATGAAGAGTTAAAAAAAAAGACTGTCAGGAAATGTCTGTCATTTGAAATCCAAATGATTACAGGCCATACAGCTATATCCACTTATTTGTATTGAATAGACGTCTTCTCATGAGTGTGTGGTCGTGTACAGACTAGGCCTAAGTAACACCTTTTACTTTCAAATGTCAGACTGGGAACATTTTTGCAAGAATCTGTTATTTATTTTCCTTTTTTTGACTACGTTGACTGCAACAGCACATAGGTCTCAATTATAGGAGAGATGTTTTTTTATAAACAGGGACAGACAGGGACAAGAAAGCTCAAACTTGTTATAGCAGAAGCCTGATCAGGTCACAAGAACATTGTTTTCCATCTAAGTTGTGTCTGTACCTGGGTCAATGGGGATGCCCCGGGGCAGCGATGCAGGGTCGAAGGCTATGGGGATTTGACGGTACACGTCTGCAGCCCCTAGACCCTGCAGCAGGCGCTCGTAGGTCTGCTGATCTGGAACACCTTGGAGCGGTGATTTGGTGGCATTCATCTCTCTGGGGGTCGGTGTGGATTTGCGCTCCTGAGTCGGATTCTTACTTGAACCTTAAAGAAAAACAAGGAAAAAAATTAAATGTACAGCTTTGGTGAGGTGAAGGGTGACCTATGTTATTCTAAAGTATTGTGTTGACTTAGACCCACCATCATGTTGCCTTTGGCTTGCCTCCCTGGACAGAGGGGAGCCACGGTGCGAAGGCCCGGGGTAAGGGGCCCTTAAGGCGGCTTTGTCCTCGTAGCCCCCTGGACTATGATGGGACTTGCCTCCCTGCTCTGACCCCAGGGTAAGGGGAGAAGAGCGAGCGATACTGCTAGCTGTACTGACAACGGCGCTGGGCCGGCCTTTTGGCGCCTCTTCGTAGCGGCCCCTCTCAGCCCGCATCTCCAGGTGTGAGGCTGGGTTGTGGTAGGAACGTGGTGAACTGGCTATGATGGAGCGGACATCGTGACGCTTCCCTGAACCGGATGGCTCCTGCTTCATGGGTGTTCCCTGAACCCGACAGGAAATGATCAGTAAAGCATAGGGATGTAACAATACCAAAAACTCATGGTACGATAATATCGCGATAAAAAGTCCATGGTACGATATTTTTCGCGATTTTGAAAAAAAAGAAAGAAAATATGATTATTTTTATTTTTTTTTTTTTTTAAATAGGTAGCATTTTGGTAGGATAACAGTATTTTAAAGTGTCAACAATATAATAATCAGACCCTGCAATAGAATAAATCAAGTTTCACTTTAGTTTTTCAAGTAACTCAACTCTAACTCACTCGCTCAGCATCATCAAGGTTATCTTTTAGGAATATGAGCATGTCCACATTTCCAGGTAGAAGCTGGGATGTTTGGGCGTTTACAATATCCCCTGCTGTGGAAAAAACTCTCTTGCTTGGTACTGATGTTGCTGAGACAGATAGATATGCTTTGGCCATGGGTGACAGCAGTGGGTAAAACTGTGCATTGTCTCTCCACCACTTAAAAAACAATACAGTTTTTGCCAAGAAGGTGAGGCTTATTGACAGGGCGAGATATAAATATACTGTCGGTACTTGTCAATGTCTCTAGGTATGTACATGTAGCCCTGTAAATACGATGTCCTTTTGTGTTATCTGTTGTTTTATGTTCATGTTGTAACCTACTTTCTGCCATGTTGGACAGGTCTCCCTTGAAAAAGAGATCGATGATCTCAATGGGACCATCTGGTTGAATAAAGGTTTTTAAAAAAAATGTTGGCAGTCTCACGACGGTATTGAGACATTTATTTACCGCGATACTCGATATATCGTTCGTTACATCCCTAGTAAAGCATAGAGGATGCCAAACATTAAGGAAAGCCTCTGCATGAGTTATCGTAGTGTTTGTACCTGTGCTATGATGCCCTCCTTGCCAGGCTCCCTGGGAATGAGGTGGATGGAGCGCCCTGCCTCCTTCACTGTCGGCACCATGGAGCCCTTCATTGGGTCCGAAAGAGTCCCGGGCCCGCGGGGTGGGGAGTTCTCTCTCTTCATCTGCTTAGCTTCCCTCCTCAGGTAGCCATCCTGAGGGTCTAGATGACGAGGTATACCTGTAGTAAAAAAAAAAAAAATCATGTCAATATTTTGTTTTTCTTCAAGCAAGAGTGGGCAGCATTTTCTTTTCTTTTTTGGAAGAGTGGAGTAGAGAAAGACATGAAAGACACGAGAGACATGAAGAAAGATTTTGATTGGGTTATATCAGCTCAGTTGAAGCAGCAGGGGTCCTGAGAGCATCTACTTCTATCTCTTGGCAAGATGAGACAAGATGGTTATCCGACTTCACTGGTATCAGATAAACATGAATATCAACATGGAAGTACTCCTGCCAGCGGGTGAGATCTGGTAAGCTGGCACAATCTGCTTCTTGAAAGCAAACAAGAAAAAAGGCTATCTTTCATTGAAGTTCTACTGACTGAGCACTGGGAGGACAGTCTGATGAAGTGGGAGCAAAATAAGCTAGTATGTTCAGGGAAAAACACAAATAATGCACACAAAGAAAACAATTCAATCTGCTTTAACATTTGGATAGACTTTTCTCAACCGTTTTGTGTTATTTTGAAACACAATATTTAGTTGGCGATTACATTTAGACTAGATGATGTCAAGATTTCTAACAAAAACAAAGAGGAATTAACTTGAAGAAAAAAAGTCTCCAATCATAAGAAAGAAAAAAGAAAAAAATATATGGAGGGAGGTAATATGTTTTATATTGAGGAGTCTTCTTACCTTGTGAGATTGAGCCACGGATGTGATGAGCATCTTTGTAATGTTGGTGGTGTGGACTGTCTCTGTCATGAGGCATGGCTCGACCAATCAGACCTGTGCAGGATGAGGAGTAGTGAGATGTTAGACTATGGTCAATGAATTCATCAATAATGAGAGTTGTCATTAAACGAAGGGTAGAACCATGGTTTTACTTTCTCTCTCTGTGGGAGTGACAGAGTGATAAGGTCGGTCTCTCACCTTCACAGTTGGCAGCAGACAGTGAATCCCTCATAGGCAGTCCTCTGGAGATGCCTCCCTCCATAATGTCATAAGGACGCTTCAGACCCAGAAGTTCTGCAGATTGCCCGGGGCCTCTGCCTTCATCTTTAATGCTCTGAGAAGGTGGGCCTGCAAAAGACAGAGATGCAACTAGAATTCGTTTAATGATACCTCTTAGTTAAGGGATAGTACTCACTCAATGACTCAAAGCAGGTTTCCTACACTTTAAAGAATGTTGAAGACTTTTTAAGCCCACCCAGTATTGAACTTTAGACTAACTTCACAATTATGAAAATCAATTATCTTATAGTTTAAAATCATGTACAAAATACACTGTGATTGGTATGTATTGCCTGGAACCGGTTTCAGCAATGCAGAACAATATTGTTTGAATAGCCAATTATCATTGTATTTTCACTTCCTCATGTGGAGTGCTGGAAGCATTCTGTCTTCATGTATGCTGTAGAATGCAATTTATTTGAATGTTATTTCAAACATAGATGTTGAGATGTTACATTGAAATGTAAGGAAAACACATTTTGTAAGACTTTTGAAAGATTGATTTAAGACATTTTAACACAAATTCAAGCTTTTTGATAAATAAATAACAGCTTATAAGGATCCCCTTGATCCCTGCCGAGGTTCAGTTATGATTCAAAGTTAAGGTCAAGTTAGAACTCTGTGATTAGTTGGGCTTGTACCAGATCTTGTACAAAATGAAAGTAATGCTTGGCCATGGCATAAAACATACTGCAGCCAAGTTGATGTACTCACGGTCATATGTGAGAATGTGTCCACTGATACCCTCGTAAACCACATGGCCTTTAGATATCGCCTCATCCCGTTCCCTCTCAGCTCGGCAGGCGCTGTCCTCACTGATCAGACGGGTAATGGTTCCCTTATACAGCACATCAGCCGGTGTCCCCTGTTAAGAAAAGAGGACGGCCCTGACAATTAGCTATTTACAGACCTATTTCTGTTGGAACCACCTTTAAAAGTCACAGACAATCAAGTCTTATTTTCTGCAAATGCACTTGAACTTGCCTCTTCTGGGAGCATCATGCATAGGCTAGCTGCTAGCAAAGCAAACCCCAAAAAATAAATGGTATGAGAAAAGTCACTGTTTTATAGCTATTTAATTAAATAAAGATGATCATATTTCTGCCATAAAGGCCCCTAATAAAATGAGTTAAGATAACAGCTGGAAATAGCTTTGAATAAGTCACAGTGCAGTTTAAATCAACAACACTATTATGGTCTGGATGACCAATTTAGGTGACTGGCAATTATATTTGTTTTCCTTCTTTCAGGAATGTAGACTTGGATGCAATTGGAGCCGACTGTAATGCATCCTGTGTTGCAAAACATGTATTCTGTTTCTTGAATTGTTTGTGCCCCAGAAAGAGTGATGGCACAATGGGGAGAGATTACAGTGATCCAAATAAATAAATAAACAAAAACAAACAGCTGTGAAAAACAAACTAGTACTCTATGAAGAAGCGGAGGTGTAACAATATACGACAGCAGGCTTTGTTAAAACCTTGAGTCACATCACTCGTACCCCGAGTATGAGTCACATGTTTAAACTGTGGGCGGTGAGTGGGAGACACAGCGTGCCTGAGATCACATTTCTTGTCTTTTGGTTGCAGCTTTTCCAAGAAGACACAGCTGAAGGTTGAAGGCCAGGCCAGTAGGGTTACGTTTACAGGATCAGGTAGCACTGACCAGAGCAGTCCTCATGTACTCCCAAAGAAAGTGCAACTTATCTGAGTTATAATCTAGCTGCAAGATAAACAAACAAATGAGCTGTCCCTCAACAACGGTAACGATCATGCTTTATCGCTTTCACCTTCTCCATACTAATCCATCATGGTGGATAACAGGCCCCTTAACACTTGTTTTCCCTTGTAGGCCAGTTGGATGTGATATTACAGTGTGCATTGCAATGACTTCAGACAAGAGTCTAGAGAAAATAGATACATTAAATAGGGAACAGAGTGTACAGTGTGTACCAGATGCTAGGGTGTAGGGTTGCAACGGGTCAGAAAATGTTCACTAAATTTCCAGGACAATTAATTAGGAAAATCTCATGATTAAACAGGTTATTTATTACGGGATTATATGCACTGCACTCAGCTCTCCCATCACATATAAAGATCATTTGCCAGCATCCCATTTAATAGGAATTCAATAAATTACAACCCATTGCATTCACAGTTCATTCTCCCATGTGCAGCTCAAACTAATGCACAGTCTGACCATGCTATGGTAATGTTTTGTATGATATGACCCACAGTGTTTAATTTGGTAACATCTTCTACTAGTTTTTTCTAGCTAGCTGTTAGCATATATAACAGCTATACCATATCGTTTTAAAACTATAACCATGTATTCTTTGTTGAAAAACCTGATTGATAATGGGTTGTTATTTTAAATCTGTGTTTGCAGATCACAACTTGCCATACCACATTTTAAAATAAAAATGTTATTGCCTTGGTTAAAAGGCTAGCCAGCTAACTCACCACAGTTCACACTGTATTTATTTGAAAAAGGAATGGATGGATTTGTCAAACACATGGATTATCTCTGCTAATGAAATGTTTAAGGATTAGTTTCTATCTGCATGTGACATATTTACTACTGAACTTCCTGTTCATTTCAATAAATTCCTGTTAATTCTAGTGGAACTTTTCTTCCTTGCATATTCCTGGAATTCTGCAACCTTGCCCAGGTCATTTTTGCACTGTGGTTATGACACAGCAGCAGCTGCTCCCGCTTTTATCGTAAGTACACAAATCAAAGCCTAATAACACAAAGGTGATTGTTTAACAACCAAAGTTTTAAACGGTGTGGGCAGGGGTTAAGTGACAGAACGAGTTTTATCTATCAGAAAAAGGTGTGGGAGTGAACAACTACGACTGTGGGTTGCCTATGTACCAGCCATTTAAGCTGCTACTATCATGAACCCTAACACAGTTTAATAGTCAGTTTCAGTTCACTATTTACAGCCATCAGCCTTCGGAGATAGAAATACATTTGAACACAGAAGAAACACTTAGCAATATCATATAATTTGTAATATAACAAAAAGTATCTCCTAAACCTACATAATAGCTCATTTACAGCTGCTCATTTAACAAAACTGACTTATTTCAATCCATTTCAGAGGTTATTTAGGGGTTATTCAAACAAAAGGGGAAGCGAAACGTTTTCTGTCGTAATGCACTACTCAAATGTGAACACTGTCAGCAGAATACTCTTAACAAATGACGTTCAAGGATTGCCACACACAACAGAGAGACAAAGAACTTCACATTTGGGAGATTCTGTTACAGTGAGAGTAAAAACCAAGTGTGAGGTATTATCTTTGGATCATGGTTCCCATCATCAAACTAGCAGCCGAGGAATATCTTGAAGGGAAACGCCAAGGACGCCCCAACCAAAAAGTACAAAAATGTACTTGAAAAATATATGTTTTATTAACTCAATTTGTTACTTAGCTCTCAAACTAAAATTGAAATCTGGAAGTTTTTCCTTGTACGATGTGAGGGTCAAAGGACAGAGGGTGTCGTATTGTCATACTGATATTATGTACAAACTGTGAAGACCACTGAGACAAATGTAACATTTGTGATATTGGGCTATATAAATAAACATTGATTGATTGATTGATTGAAGGAATTTAAAAAAAGTGTACAATGTGAAGCATAGCAAAAATAGCAAACATATACAGATATACTCAAATCTTTACTAGGATTTTCATAGAAAGAGAGAAAAAGCTAGACTGGCATATACCCTCACACCTGTTTTGTAGTAGGGCTGTACCAACTTTCATTTTGTTCTACATACAAAGCCTTTATTGAGGTTTTTAGATCATGCTTTAACTGTCTGTTATCATGTTTTATACACCATTGCCCTAATGGTTTATCCCTTTCTTGTCCAGCAAGTTTGAGAGAAAACTGCTTTAACCCTTAAAGACCTAGACGGAATCTTCGCCTGCCTGCCTGTTCTAACCTTTTCTAGCAGTCAGCATAAAGTGCCTTACCTCATTTGATTCAGGAGAACCTCTAGTTCAAGTCTGGTTAATTTAAAGTCCACATTTTATCTTAACTTTGTGTGATAATGGCTGAATTTACCAGCACTTTTCAAAAACGCCAGTACAAATGTTGTGTTTTTTTACTGTTTACTCCGCCAGGAACATAGGAATTTTCTTTTTTATTATTTACAAAACTGAATTTAGATGTTTTAGGCTTTCAAATGAAATTTCATCTGCATATTATGTTCCCTGAGCAAGTTACAGCTATTTATTCCATATTATCCTAGGCGTTTTTCACTGAAAAACGCCTAGGATAATATGGAATAATTCAAACGAAATGTATTTCCATATTTAAATGACTGATCATGTTTCTTCTGTCAAAAAAACGTTGAGAGAGTACAACATTAAACCATAACAGATGACATTGCAACAAAAATAACTTGTTTCAGAGAAATATATTATCATTTGAACATTTAAATACAAACACAAACAGTGAAACAAATTCAAAGTGCAAATTATATTGAAACAATAAACAAAGTATTAGAAATATATAGAAAGTGCAAATTATCTTGAAACTATAAACAAAGTATTAGAAATATATAGAAAGTGCAAATGTACAAAGAGCAAATGATCTTCAAACTATAAACAAAATATTAGAAAAATATATAAAGAGCAAAGGAAATGTATCCACATTCATCATGGTCTGGGTCGGTCAGATGTACAGCTCTGCTGATTGCCATGAACCTGTCTCATGTCATGACAGAAGCAGGAAAGAGAACACTTAGGTGTGATCCCTTCCTCCAGTAGTCTCTTGACATACATGAGGAATTTTACCGGCTTTCCCAAACAAACTTTTCCCCCTTAGCCTGCTCCTTTTCAGAATTTTTGTTTGTGTTCTTGCAGATGATATTTACAACTTGGTTGTTAAAAAAATGTCTAAATATTTGTGCAGGAGTATACTCCACACCAACAAAACCTTGGACTCCAGGGGCTCTTTTCGGGGAAAAGTGTGGTAGTTGTTGGGCAGTATCTGGCACCTCAGATCCGTTCCAAACAGCTCCTGGCTCTTCTGGGGTCAGAGATGTTTTTTTCCCTCTTCCTCTTCCTCTTCCTCTCCCTTTCACTGTCAGGGGGGCTGGCATTGGTTTGGCCTTTTTTCTGGATGCTGCACCCTCCTGGCCACATTCTTTTCCCTCTCGGTTTGAAGGAGGCCTACTGATGGGGACAGTGGCTTGTGCATCCCCTCTCTCATCCTCTGGACTAAAATAAAAGGGAGGAAAATATACAGATATAAATGTCTGAATATATTTTATTTCCTTTATTGCTTTTATTTCTCCAGTGTCATCCTATCTATTTTCTAAACACAGTCTCAACTTTTGATTTGATTCACACTTTATCCCTCTGCTAACATTACTAGTTGATGGAATCAGTAACTGAATTGTAATGCAATGAATATAATAACATTAGACCTTATAACAAACAACCAAAGAGGGCAAGCGGAATGAGGCAATAAATGAAAGGTATTGCTTGACGTTTTTTTACTGAAATAAATAGTAGCCTCTATTGATAGTGAATCTTGAGCTCAGGACTTCACTTTATGACACAATTACGGCAAATGGCCATCCATTATAAAAACTCTTAGGACTAATTATTTTCGGCGTTATACAGAAATAGCAACCGAAAAATGCAACACAAACAATAAGAAATAAGCAAAGTTACTCACTTTTTATCTTCGAAGGGTCGGATCAATCCCGTGATCATACTCCTCTTCCTTGCCAGTTGTCAGCTTCAGAATCTGAGGAATCCACCGCTGCATCGCTAAGCGGTCCGCCAGACAAATTAAATTCTACGGCTTCTTCCGTAGTGTAACGCCGTTTTCACATGTTGGTTTGAATTTCTCTTGGGATGTGTGTGTGTATATGTATGTATGTGTATTTGTGTGTGTGTGTGACTGTATCTAGATATCTCGTGTTGTATTTATTTCTCTTACGCTGGCAAAATTACTCTTCTTTAGTATTACTCTCTCGTCTCTCTGTTTCTCTTTGTTTATCTCCCGCCGCCAAAAACATACACAGCAACCTATGTTGATTGGTCGAGAAGATGGTAGCATGGGCAGAGGTTTGCCTGGACCTTTACATTTTAAACCTATCCGGACACAGGGGGGTGGGACTTAGTCTAAAACCTTTGCTGTTTGGCTCAGACGGAGGGGCTGCGTGGGTCTCCTTGACGAATCAAGGCTGTACAATGTGATGACGTTGCCCCGATCACGTCGGAGCCTCTGAATCCCGGAAAAGGACATAGTGATACCAGCGAAAAGCCTAGAATAGCCGCTTTACCTCACTTTTTAAATCAGATGGAGAGGATTAGCGGTTAAAAAGTTATTAAGCATTTTAGAACGCTACCTCTTTGAAGCCGCGGGCGGCTCGCTCGGTCTTTAAGGGTTAACACCGCATTGAAAATATTGTTTTTGTAAGGCTGGAAGACAGATTAGTGTAGATTGATGGTGACAACACAGCCCCTAGTTGACCTCCCCCCCCCCCACACACACACACACACCACAACACAGACTATATCACCCCTTGCTGCTAAATACCAACAAACTATGTGCAATATGTGCAATATATATAGATGCCCTTAATAACTGTAATATATACCTGGCTGCTAAATCCTAAGAACTGTTACAGGGTGTGTATTCTTTTAAATTATGTAACTTTTTCTTTTTTATTATATCATAACTTAGTACTTTTTTTTAATGCATGTCACATATTTAACATTTGAACATTAAGCTCTTTTTCCTGCTGTAACTACGCAAATGTCCCCTCCGTGGAACTAATAAAGGTATTCTGATTCTGACAATGAGTACATCTTTTCTTTTTTTCATCAAGCTCACCTGAGTAATGGATCCCCCTCGGTAGGAGATTGGGGAATCCTGATGCATTCTGGTCCCTGGGATGCCCTTAGTGATACTACCACCCTGAACTGCTGGAATAGAACCTGTGAAGAGAGCAAGTCAAAACAAATCATCATTCAAATGAGTTAAAGTGGAGTACAATGTAAACAATTATTGGCAATAGAAGTTGCAAAATGTTCTGCATGTTTGGCCAAAAGCATGCGAGCATAGCTGGAATCAAAGCAAATACAACAGCTTGTATCAATCACGTTTCGCAATCTTAAATGAATTTAGAGTATTATTAATGATTCAAATGTTTTGTCCAAACACTATCTATGTATGTAAGAGTGAAAGCGTGGCTAAATTAACATCTCCAAATGTATCTGGGAAAACTGTGTTGCAGCACCAGTAACAGGAATTAAAGCTTTGTATATTATTACTCTAGTTAGCATTTACTAGTTCTGAACACATGAATCTGGGCAGTTTCTCCCATTCTTCACATCCTCTCAAGCTCTTGCAGATTAGATGAGCTTCACTAAACTCAATTCCCGATTTTCAAGTGAGATTTAACTTCAGCCTGGGCCAGTCAAGTACATTCAGGGACTCTCCCAAAGTCCCTCCCAGTGTGGTCCATGCGGTGTGTGCCTCAGGTCACTGTCATGCCGAGGAGGTTAATCTTTTCAGCATGACAGTGCTGAACTAAACATGTGGGGAAACTCGTGATTTTACTTTGTTATTCCAGGGTGTATGGCATCTTCCTTGATAGCAAAAGTGTAATCAGTTTCAAATAAATCTTTCATGAAGTGATATTTTCCAAGATTCTTTGATAATCTTTACCCACTAAACAGGAAACGGACAAATGCAGGAGCAACGCCTCAATACCAGTTTACTGTATATAGAAATCAAATAGAACCAGATAAGACAAGGTGAGCCACCCACCACGTCCAGAGGCACCATCGTGAGGCGACCCCTGGGTTGGCATGTTGTCGGCTTGAGAGGAAGAGCTGCGAGGAGACAACTGTTCCTGCTTTATCACGGGGAAAGGACCGCCTGGATAGAGCAAGAGTTGGAAACAAGGGACAGTAATGAGGAGACATGTCTATGCTGATCACGAAGTTGATGGCAACTTGCAGGAAATAAATATTAAAGTTAATTGTTCCCACTGGACAATTTTACTCACCCACTTTCCTCTGATCCATCCAAGACAACCCCATCTGTGTGGGGGTCATCTTCCCGTGGTCCAGCCCATGAGCAGGGCTGTGCAGCTGCACTGGGGTGCCCTGGAAGACAAGGATTTGGTCATAATGGTGTTTTATTTGTATTGTCTTTTGTATTTTCCATGCTGTATTTTCAATATTGATGTTTTTTAAGGTAATTGCTGTGGGCCAACTATGACTTCATTTGTGTTGGGCTCTACCTGTGTGATGGAGCCTCCTGGCTTGGAGGAGGAAATAAGAGGAGGGGGATCAGGCATCGTGAGGGGTCTCACTGCTGCTAGCCTTCCACTGTCCTGTGGCAGATTAGGCAGTGAGGGGTGGCCTGTTTGCTGGAACGCTGGAGGACAGAAGTGATTATGAGTTTTGGCAGAGAGAAGTGAAGTGAAGTAAAAAAGAATGCTTGTATCAAAGCTGAAGTCTTAATCAATCAACCCCTGTTTTTGGCCTGATAATGGTTAAAGAAAATGTTATGTGAAATAAATTTGACTAAAATGACATTTTCGCTCGACTAGATTGACTGAAAGTTCAATATAATCGGATAACTAAAATAGCATATTTTTCACAAGATCAAATATTAAACATTTTGACTTAAAGTATTGACAAAAATGACTTGTCCCTACTAAAAATAAACAAAAATGCACTTGTTGTAGACTTAATAATAAAAGAGAAAGACGAAGATGCAATCTTAAATAGCTGGAAAAACAAACTGGGGACAGATTAGAGGACTCACAGTTGAAGTGGAGCAGGTGCTGGTCGTGACTGATCTTGACCATGTCTCGTGGGGACATGGGATAGGGGGAGAGAACGGGACGACCTATGTTGGAGGTCCTCAGGTCGTCGGGGCCCATCGCCTGCTTCTTAGCTTCACCGTGCGGAGAGAAAGACCGGGATTTTTCTGAAACAACACACAAAGTCAGAACTAAAAGCAACAACAGTCAGATAGACCTCCCCTAATCTAACAAGCTGTCCTTCAGCCGCCACTCACTGATGTCAACAACAACAATTGTCATCAACACCAATGTCATTGTTGTCTGTGAGGACAGAAAACCCCTCAAGCCTCATCCTAGCCAGGGTGATATCAACACTGAATTAACACGCCAGCATACATAACAAGCTTCTGCTTAATGTATTGTACACACAGTAAATCTAACAGAGGAGGTGATCACCCTGCAGTGTGGTTAAGGTGTTATTAAATAAAAGGGAATGGTGTGGCAAGGGGTGAACCTACTTAATCCCTGCAGGAGGGTCAGTAACCACCTCTCGTTGCCTTCCAGCTCTGAAGGGACACAAACACACCACAGATCATCGCACCTCACAGATTGTTCTCTCTCACACAGAAACATGTGCTAACTACATTTACACGTTACTGCTATTTCAATATGGTGACTTTAGTCTGAGCTATCAGCCAAATGAGACTAAATAGTAACTATAATGTAGTTTGTAAATATGTCTACACCTGCCTCTGTGTAAGGCACCCTACAAACAGCTTTTTATGCCCGTTTCCTTTCCAAAAATGCATGAGAAAATAGTTGCTGTAGTTCACAGCTGCTGTGCCAAGATGGTTATGAAAGACCTGTCTTTGCCGGGACTGTTGCTAAAAGTCTTACGCTGTGCTCTCAGAGATTCACATTCCACACGCTCACAGTAAGGGCACTAAACTAGACTATATTCCCTTCTGGGTCAATAGCAATACCAGATCATTTATCAGTTGCCTCTCCACGAGTGTCCCAGAAAAACTTGAATACCCTAAACACTAGAGACCACAGCCTTGAAGGTTATAACTTGTAGCAAGGACCAACTAAGTAAAACTAGATCAAATGCTCCTAAAACCGTATAATATGCAGCACATTCATTAACCTCCATTTTCTTTTGAACATATCATGGGCCGCATTTACAGTGCTAATGTTGAATCCATGTATCCTTTGAGACAACTTTAGCAAACACACATATATACAGCCCAAAAACAAGGGATCACAGATAATGAAATTATGGCTTGGGAAAAAGACAAATGCTGGAAATTGTGTGAGGTGTTCCTACATTTAAACTTAAGCAGCTTAGAAAACAACATATATGAAAAACCATCTGACTGGGACTGGTATTTCTGTTATGCCCGAGGTGTGCATACCATCCTTGTCGCTGGTGGAGGGGCTGCGGGGGCGCATGCGAGGACTGATGCTGTGAAGAGCCTCTCTGTCTCTCTCCGACTGCATGGTGTACGGCTGCTGTTTGCCGGGCTGGCCTGAGAGCAGCTGTTGCTGCTGTTGCTGCATTTTGACCTCCTGAGAGGACTCCCCGTGAGCCATGGTGATCTGCTGCTGGTACAATGCCAGGGCGTGGGGGGGCAGCAGTGACTTGCCACCACTCCGCTGAACGGCCTGCAAGGCGGCTTCTGGCAACTACACACAGGATGAGAGGGAAAGAAAAAAGGTTACAATCACACATAACTGAAGCCCACGCCTACCTGGCATTTGACATATGGTTAGCCACATATCTGATAAACATGATAGCTAATGAACATCTCTTGTTTCTTGGTAAGCTAAAGTTTCCCTAATGGGTGGGATCTCATTTCTTCCCCACAAAGCAATCTACCCATCAGCTTCCATCTGGCTGGCTTATTTCATACAAATATGACTAAACAATTCCACGTTGTACACCGTTATCTCTGAGAGCAGAGACACAGGGATAGCATTGATACTACTGCAATCAAAAAAGTGGTTGTGTGTGTCAAATCAGATTTGTTACAAAATTCTACCTGTGTCAAAGAAACTTTCAAAGCCTGGAAAAACATCACGCACATTGCTATTGTGTTATGTAAGAGGGGGAATATTTTAAATAAATACACAATGAGACCCACAAAGTTTAACTAGTGACTCACAATGGGTGGTATAGCAGCAGCCCTCTGTTTGAGCTGTTTCAGGTCCAAGGGCTTCTGCAGTGGGGACGATATCACTCCATCATGAGAGTAGTTCAGTAAACTTGGCCGTGGAGAAGTGATTCTGCACAAAAAAAAACAGGAATAAGTCACTCTTATTGGCTGTGCCCACTTTAGCACAAATATATCAACCGTCAATCTAGAAAAAATGTTACTCAAAATAAGGCAGAGGTTCTGATTGCGTTCAAATCCATTCACAGGCACAAAAATAAGTGTCTAAAGAAGGTGTTTAAGTATTTAAATGATGGCAAAAGAAAATAAAAGGAATATATTGGGTGTGTGTATGTGTTTGTGTTATATGTACTATGTGTGCTGTCAGAGAGGCTAGAACCGAATTGCAAGGAAAAATCCATATCCATGTCTCGCACATCTGTCGAAAGCACACAGTATACTCTGAATCACAGACACACACTTTGATGCACAACAACACAAAAGTGTGCACACACACACGCAAAAAACACACACTCAGTCCCTTTGTTTGCTTTGGCAGAGAGGGCAGCTTTTCCCCCGGCTCTGCCAGTACATGCAAAAATTGAACAAATACCGTGCAAACAAAACTAATCACTCCTCCCACGCACTTTGACACCCATTTCTTGTGGCCTCATTCACAGACACAATGATATATATGGGGGTGTGTGTGTGTGTGTGTGTGTGTGTGTGTGTGTGTGTGTGTGTGTGTGTGTGTGTGTGTGTGTGTGTGTGTGTGTGTGTGTGTGTGCATGTGTGCATGTATGTGTGTGTGTATGTATATATATATATATATATAAAATATATATTCTCATTCAGACAAAGTACAAATAAAATCTCTGGTTGATAGAAAAGGGCAACCTGTGGTGTACACACAAGTGGCTTCCCTGCTGTACAGTGTAGCTAGGCAACTAATAACAGTTCAAAATCCTTGCTGCTTTTTTCTGATGTCTGATGTGGTATCAGAGAAGTAGGACACCTAGTAAACCGCTGCTGAAAAACCAGAAGCCATTTGAAACCGCCAATCTTAAACATGCCCAAAGATGTCATTGATAAAAACCAAAACAGGAAAATTATTCCTTTTTTCTTTAAAACAATGGGCAATTCTTTGTAATTGGAAACAATCTATGTTCCACTTCACCTCTTGTTGCAAGCTCTTACCTATTTTTGTCTGGGTTGTCTGTCTCCTCCACTTCATCAGCGCTGCAAGTGGCACTAGAGTCACTGTCCCCATGGGAACCCGTTTTAGGCCCATGGTCCTTTTTGGAGCTCTTAGAGGAGCTCTTTCCTTCCTCTGTCTCTGCAGTAGGAGGTTTTTGATCTATGGCATCGCTGGGTGGCGTTGGCTCTTTGTTGGTCTCCCCTGTCTCAGTCTTTATCTCTTGCTTGATGGCTGATTCTGCATCTTCCTTGACCGGAGGTTTCTCATCCCCTGCCTGGCCCATGTCGGACCCGGACGCCTCCTTGTCCCCGGCGTTGGAGCTGGACTTCGACCTGCTCGAGCCTTCTTCTTTAGCCTTGCTGTCCTCTGATGAGTGTGGCGAGGGCAAGCTCTCCGTGTCAGAGCTGTTGTTAGCACCACCTGACAGAGGACAAAAGGAAACACAGATTATAAGACAAGAACGGGCAAATCATGTTATATCCCCTTGTTCTTATGTCATGTATTTTTCCCCATCTCTTTGTGCTAAAACAGATTCTTCACTGTGCCAGTCTTCTACCTAATCAGGTTTCACTGTACAATAAGGAGCAACACAAAACCAATTGGGATGATGGGTGAAATCCCCCGGGGCTTCAGTGCTCTATTGTGGAAGTGCAGTGTACACAGTCTTCCCTTATCAACAAACTACAGCAGATGCTTCAATGCTTGTCATTGCAGAACGTAAATCTTTACTTTTTAACAGTATGCTTCTTACATTACATACTCTGGCTGGCCATTATATGCAATCTGATACAACAGCCCAGCCAAAGATTCTGCCTTTACAAAGATAATAATGTTATTATCTTTGGGAATACAGTATAACTCATGTCAAACTAATATGTAATAAGTAAAAAGTCATGATGCACACAAATTATAAACCTTTCTTTTGGTAATTAGCAAATAGATCTTTGGAGTGACGTACCTTCTCCATCTTCAGGGGCCTCCTCTTCATTGCCACTGGCACCTGAGCCCTCCATCTCCTCCTCCTCTGCTGTGTACGGGGCACTGGTCTCCTCATTCTGCAGGGCTTTGCCCCTACGGCGGGCCTTTCGCTCTTTCTCCTGGGTGAAAACAAACACACACTAAATACAAACAGCCGGGGGGATGTAAAAAGAAACCAGAAACCATCTTTACAGCTTGGTTGTGCACAAGAAACCATGAATGACGTACTTTGTCGGCATCATGTGAAGCAAACATGACTCACAAAAAATGTCCTGGTACTCACCGATTTCATTTTATGCTGCTGCAGAATCTCATCCAGTTTCTGCCTCTTCTTGTAGTTAAAGTAGAAGTTCTTGCACTGTGACACGGTTTTTGACCCCACCATCTTGGCGATGGCGGACCAATTCCTACCATACTGGAGAAGGCCTGGAATCAACAGATGGACATGCAGAGGATTAGGATAGGACGGGAACAAAGACAGACAACATGGCTGACATGTGGCCTAGCACCACTCGGTCTCAACTCCATAATCTGAGCAAAGTACATTTGTTGTTAAGATTGTAAATGCAGTTATTTCGTTTATACCATGATCTATATCTATCACCACAATCTCTATAACTGCATAGTGTGGGAAGTCTCTCATGGGAAATCCAAAGCTATAAACACCTGTCTCTATAAACAGGGTATATGCAGGAATCCTGAAGTCAAATGTAATACCTTTTAAGACCTTTTTTAAGACCCTTTCCATACATTTTAAGACCTCATCGCCACTTCGAGTTTTAACCGGTTACATTGGCGACACACTTTTACCTCACACATTTACTATATACAGTATTGATTGTCCTTCCTCCTTATCTTCCAACCATTTGGACGCAAACTTGCATTTCCCCGTAACAATGTTGTTTAACAACCGGCGTAAACGGACCTTTGCGCGCTATCAAGCAGTGAGATGTCCTGTTCAGATGACGTCAAATCCAACGGGATGCCATAAATAAACTACAGAATCACACTGCAATGATTACATTCAGGAAAACTTTAGAATACAACCTCTTTGGACAATTTATATACTTATTGAAAACAAGCTACAAAATGTAATACCTTGGAAAATGCCATGTAATACTTTGTAATAGCCTTAATTTTCGCTAAATTGATTTATCAACTTTTAATCATTTTTAAGACCCCGCAGACACTCTGATAAAGCCGTCAAAACTGAAGCACAGCCTGAGAATTCAGTTCATAATCTAACAGACACAGCAACAAATACACAAAACAATATTGGATTATTTCACGGATTTACGCTCAAATCTATGACAATAGGTGAATGTTGGTAAACTTCTGTTATCAGGGATTCATTGTGAATATCCTCACACGAGCGACAAAGCTGAGAGAACGTTCCCATCAGCCCAACATGGTCTTAAAGGGATCTTTTACATGTAAATGTCTGTCTGTACATAGGTCTGTTACCTCTCCGTTTTTACAAAATATGATTGCCTTTATGGAGTAATACAATTGTATTCAATTTAATTGAGTAGTTGGCTATTATGTGGAAAAGTTTAAAAACTGATTTTAAAACATCCCTGAATGATCTTATAAGGAACATAACCAGAAAATATTGCTTCTCAATTTATTTTACCCTTTATGCATGCAGGCTGACCTAATGATTTATGATTACCTTATTAAATAATGTTACAAAAAAGATACCAGTTCCATTTCAAACGTTTTAAGCATATTTTGATGATTATCAAGATAATATCGTGAATCAATTTTCCTGAGCTAATAGTGACATTACATTTTCATGTTGTCCCATGCACACACACAGTGCCTGCGGCAGCGTGGCCTGACGCCATCTGCCTCCTAAGTAGAGACAGAGTGGAGGAATATGAGAGGGACGAGGTGGTGCGTTGGCTGAAACGTCAGTCATACCAATGACATCACCAACTCTCCCAACTGGGGTCACTCGGTGTCACATTCTGACTGACTTTGATGCGACCCAGTTCCAAGAAACCCTGGGTCCTTTACTCAGTCAACCACATGATTGTGCCTTACACAAGAGTCTACAGGCACCCGCTGGGCCACCGCGTTGATAGATTGACCTGTCATGCAACACACACGTACACACAACTGTTCAGTATGTGTGCTAAAAGAAGAGATGTAGAGAGTGTGTAAACGAGAGTGAGTGAGAAAGACAGATCGTGTAGAATTTGCTCTGGTGTCCCCCCCCCACCAGATTCTGCTGTTAGCTAAAGGCAGCTCATTAACAGTGTGTGTTGTAAGAGGCTTAGCTTACACCACCCACTTGTTTCCTGTGCCAGCCTGACAGGTCCTGGCAACAGGACAGCCTCTCAAAGGGTTGTGAGGAGGGGGGTGGGGGGGTGTTATTAACAGGCAAAGAGCCAACACCTCCTGGGATAACCTTGGACATGGGTTCAGAGGTCTCTGCATCTCATCGCTTAATGGAGGCAGTAGGACAACAAGCCATTCCCAGCCAAAGGAGAGGAAAGGACATCTGTTTACAGCCCTGTCATATCAGCTCTCAGATCAATCAGAAAAGACTGATACCAACGCTCTGCTGAGTAATACCATAAATAAGTAATAGCTGCAATAAAAGCTACCACACGACTTGTTTAAGGGTCTAAAATCCCTGGTATTATTCACAATGATATGTACATATTCGTACCGGGATACTAAGATACTAATGTGCATATAAACAAATTGCCCAACATATGATACGTTTCCTCTGTCCCTTATCAACTAATGCAAACATGAAAACACTTTTGCCAAAAGGGCTTGCATCGTGCAGCAGATGTGAGAAGAAAAATAATATTCACAGTCATGCTGAGAATGTATAAACGGCAGTATAAAAATAACTACCATAACAAGTTAGGGTGATCTTCAAGTCTGAGCTGCTGGTGTCTAAAAGCCGCTGCACACCTACAACCTGTTAAGTGTTAAAGTGGAAGAGGTTTTTCAGCTGAAATATTCATCGCTGCCACTAAAAGGCATTGCTAGGAAAGCTCCTCCAAGGAAGAAAAAGAAAGGCGGCCGACCTGACTCGCTCCAAGAGGACTGAGACACATGACCGACACTTATTAACCTTTTACAGCCGTCTCACGAGAGGGGAGACCGCCCTACAAGTCAGACACCCTCTGGAGTACTCACAAAACATACACAAGCACACGAACAAAGACACAAACAATAGCGTGATCTCACACACTCACACACACATTAGGACAAGTAAGACAAACACTTTGCTGCACCCACTGAACATGAAGCAATTTCCTGAAAGCCAAAGGTCACTTTATTACGACCTCTATCTACATCCAGTTTGTTCCATCAGAGGCAAGCACCTAAAGCACAATCTTAAGCAGCTCTGGTTGACTCGGGCCTTAGTTGCTGGAGCAACACACACATGGAACAAACATCCAATCAGCAGCAGCGATACTAAAGCAGGTGGTATTCTCACAGCCAATCAGGATACTGTATTCCCATTAGCTCCTCCCAGAGAAAGTCCAATCAACACCCGGTGCAGCCAGAAAGTGGTTGTTCCTGTCTGTCACCTGCCTGTCACTCCAGCCGTTGTCCCGCGGTCCTGCAGTGGATAACAGTATCAGACGGTCTGATCTCTGGAGGGCCCGTTGGGAAGCTCTTCGGGGCTGGGCCTTCCGATCCAGAGCAGAGGAGATGAAAACAGCTCAGACTCGGAGCTCTTCCTGCCAGCTGGCCTGATACTTTAGCCAGTGTAAGGTTGACATGCTCCTAAACAGCACATGCTCCTGGTCTTTCCCCTTCTTTTCCTCTCACTCTTGCCTCCCCGAGCTTCGGTGAGTGCTGATCTGTTCTTCTTCTCCGCCGTGTCTCTCCCCAATGGCGGTCGTCTGGGAAGACTTCCACAGGAAAGTGGGACTGTGGGGCGGTGCTATGTGCTCAGCCTCTCTCTCCCCTCATCTGATCTCTCCTCTATCTCTCTTTTTTTTCTCTCCCTCCCTCTCCCGGTCGGTCCGTCCCTCCCCCTACCTCAGTCTGCCAGCAGGCACCGCCGCACGCACACTCACACAAATGCAGTATGAGTACACACACTCACTCGAACCCTTTCTCTCTCTCCCTCTCTCTGTCTCTCTTGTTATTACTCTCGCGCACAGACGCAAACACACACTCAGGCAGTCCAAGAGTAAACAGAGAGCAGAGAGAGAGAGAGAGAGAGAGAGAGAGAGAGAGAGAGAGAGAGAGAGAGAGAGAGAGAGGGGAAAGATATAGAGAGAGAGAGAGCTGAGCCAGAGAGACAATGGAGAAAAGGAAAGGACACAGAAGTGGAGAGTAAGCAAAGAGAGCAGAGGGGGGAGACAGGAGGGGGGGGGGGGTTGATGTTGATACCAGGAGAAAGCATAAAGGCTTTCAAATGTTTCCTGACTGACCTGCTTTTCATCTTGAATGTGACCTCTCTCCAGTCTATAACAACACCGAGTGAGTTGAGAGACAAAGTGAGTGGGGGAAAGAGGCGCTTGCCAAATCTTCCACAGCTCTTGCCAATCTGGGCCGTTGCCATCTCCCATCCGAGAGAGACGGACAGAACGAGCGGCGGAGATAGAGCAACCGTGGAGGAGGAATACAGAAGAAAAATAATATGCCATTCTCTACCTGCTGCTCCTTAAATGGGTTCTTCCAGCAAAGCAGAGCAGGGGCCATTATCCAGCTGCCTGCACCCAAGCAAAGCCTGCCAGATTAGTGCACTTACATAAACGGCAGCCAAGGAGGGTACACACACACACACACACACACACACACACACACACAACACACACACCACACACACACACACACACACACACACACACACACACACACACACACACACACACACACACACACACACACACACACACACACACACACACACACACACACACACACACACACACACCAACACACACACACACACACACACACACACACACACACACACACACACACACACACACACCACACACACACACACACACACACACACACACACACACACACACACACACACACACACACACACACACACACCACACACACACACACACACGATGGACCAAGTGCACACAGACACAACCTTTTGCTGCACGTCTTGCACACACACAGGCAGGAAGAAGTGTTGGGTCTGAGAGAGAGGCTTTACTAGGCTGAATTCTGGCAGACGCTTGTATGAGGTAGCAGTCTTTATGAGCATTGAAGACAAGAGTGATCTATCCATGAGTGTGGCCATGCTATCCTCGAAGGCAGGGCTGGCTGGTGCTGCCATGCTGGAATGCCAATGTCCTGCCAGGCACTATAAATGCCATTATTCAGATCTGTTTAGCTCGAGGGGATAAACACATTAGCATCAGGACACCTACGCCTCTTTAAAACATATACATGTCAAGCACCTTCAAGGGAGAGTACCTTGACAATCTTATTTAATACTATAAGGAAATGGGAGGGGTGTGGTTGTGATCTTGGAAGGGGAATCCCTTTTGGCAGGTGTGGGGGTTGATGTTAGAACTGAGGAAAACGGCAAGAGCAGCTCCTCCTCTTGGGCCCTCAGGTCTGTAGCTGTGGCTCTGTGGTTGTGGTTACATAAGCCCTTCATAGAAGACTAGCTACCACCAAGCTGCCAGGCTAATCCTCTGGGATGGAGAGCCCCACTAATCCCACTGCAGGAGAATGGAACTGAAGACATTAACCAGGATTACTACACAGGACTGTGTTCAAGCCAGGCCAGCTATCACAAAATAACCCCTCAACACACAAACATGCACGCAAACCCTATATTGTAGCAGACACACACACAGCTTGAGACGGATGCGATAAATGATGACCAAATGTGGTTTCAATTTCACACTCAAGCTGCTGATCGCTCCTTGCAAGAGGCACTTCATATACTGTTGATTACAAGGGAGGACAGATTAAGTTAGCAAGAAGCAGAACTGACAGTCACACAAAGCAAGATGACATGTCATCTTCAAATGGCCACAAAGCAGCCGCCTTGGCATGAAATTTAGTTGAGTCAAGTACAGAAGGCAGGTCTGGCAAAAACAATGATGGTACAAAGCCACCTAAGATCTGACATTAAACAATCATCTAGGAAAATATGCATTTAAATACACAGCTGAGCGGACAACACCCCTTACATGTTCAGGTAAACTATTAAAATATCCACACAGAAGAAAACCAGATTGGACTATATCCAAAGAGTAATACACATTACAAACGACTCAAGGTAAGCAGATCAGTATATCAGTAACAGACTCCTGGACTGCCCGCACAAACAGTCAAACACACTCTCACAGAGCACCAGTGCTAGGAAAATGGGCAGAATGTCAGTGACCTCTGTGAATAAGCCACAGACCTCTTGGTAATCTTCAGTCAGAGACAATAAACAGGCTGAGTTAATGACTGCTGCAGTTGCAGGGGCTAGCTGATAAGAGGCAGACTTTACAGCCTGCTTGATAAAAAGATACGTTGCATTGACCCAGAGAGAAGGGGAAGTGGCTCCAAAGAGCAAGAGACTCAGAACAGGCACTCTGACATATACACGCCAAGACACAACCCAGCAGCACGTGGCAGCGGCTGCCTCACTAACAGGAAGTCACAGCCGCATCTCTTCTCTACACTTTCAAAAACATGAAACAGTACTTGAGCCGCTGCTACTGTTCCTCTATAATACACATCAACTGGAATTAAGTTGTACTTAACAGGGCTAAGAAAAGGTTTACTGTATTACCTTTTTTGGCAGTTTCCATTTCTTCTTCAGTCCAGCGAGAGCTCTCATTCATTTCCAGATTGGCTGTTAAAAAAAATAGAGAACCACCGAGTTAGAGAAGGCGGGACAATGGTGGGGGGGGGGGGGGGGGGGGGGGAGTGGGCAGTTGTCACAAAGTCAGTTAGGGAGTGACTGACAAGGGTAAAGGAAAGAGAAAGAGAAATTAGAGAAGACAGAATAAGAGGGTGGGGGGCAGGGTAGTTTGTACTGCCTGCCAGTGAAGCACTGCAGCGTGGGTCGCTAGGGAGTGTTTGTTTTAGATGGAGGAAGCAGGAAATCCAAGGAGAGCAGTCAGTTAATGATTATAGACAAAACAACTGGCTTCTTTCCTTGCACAGGCCGACCCTGGCCCTGCCCGGCAGAGAGCGGAGTGCGAGCCAGGGCTTCTGTGTCCTCTAGCTGGACCTGTAAAGGGCACAGGACGGCTAGCCCTGCTGCCAGCAAGGGAACAAACAGTGGCAGAGGTGGGGGGGTTGCTGATGAGAGCCCCTAGTGCCTGAATCACCTGGGGATTCCCTGTGACTAAACCTGTGCTGCAGCATAGATACAAAAAACGCTGAAGCATCAAAAATCCCTGATTGCCTGCAGCAAGAGTGTTAGTGGGTTAGTGGCTGACTTACCATCTGCGAGGTAACAAAGAGCTAAGCGGGGGGGGACACTGCTGACACACTGAATACTTTGTCTTTCCCAAACAGATGGGATTTAATCTCTTGTAGGCACACATTTTCAACGTTTTTTCTTATCATTTCTTATTATGCAATTATGCAAAAAAAGTAAGTGCAACACTGAATGTGAATAAGTGAAAAGGGACAAAAGGAACAACAGTGCACTCTTGTGGTGTGGGACAGGAAGCAACTAGATCAAAGGTGACAAAGTTAATCTTGAGTGACGCTAGTGAAATTAGCTGTAAACCTTAGCTGTTAGCTGATAGTAACATGATTGTATCCCTCATTATTGCTTCTTGCCATCTTAATGTTTTAAACAAGTTAGCTATCAATTACGTTTCCCTAATGAAAAGGAAAAAAAGGTTTCTAGGCATCTCTGTGTTTAACAGGAATATTGCAATGGCTTGATTGCAAATTGAGACACAATTAATTTCATAATGTTTCCCCCTCATCTTCACCTCTATATTTACAGTATGTTTGGTGCCTGCAGCTGCATGCTAAATGGTTCAAATAAAACTGCACAGAGAATAAAATTGGGACTCATTTGCAATACTGCAGAGACTGACCCAGCTCACTGTTGAGTGGCGGTGTGGTCGTCTCCTCCACTTCGCTGGTCATGGAGCGGGTGATGCGGCCCTTGCGGCGCCCCTGGCTGTTGGCTGTGCGTCGGCCCTTGACAGCCACAGTAGGCTCTTTGTCCTCTGCATCTTCTCCAGAGGTGTCGTCCCTGTGAAGAGAAAACACGTGCTGTTTGAAAGTGTTCACAACATGGTGGGTCACTGATATAGTTGTCCCCTTATAAAGTGCCAAAGTGACGCATCCTAAAACCCGGAAGTAAGCTTCTTCCGGTTCCCTCGACAAAAAAGCAATGCAATTTCTCCATAGGATTTTAGAAAATAGCTCGAAATAAGGTCTTTGGTTGACACACAGTTAAGAGACGGATCACGTTTTGTTCAGTCGGATAATCTCCACATGTCTACCCTACTTTTATCATTTTCTAATCATAAATCTATCGATTACATTTATGATCGAAGAAGCTTACTTCCGGGTTTTAGGACTGTGGCACTCTATATTACAAAGCAATAACATAATTGCCACAGAACTGAATGTTTTAATCCAATGAGGATGTTTTTCACCACTGAAGATTAGACTAAGGCAAAAAGCCCTTAACACAAACAAGAAGTGAATATGTGTTGCAGTAAAGACACGGTTAAATACCACCAAAGAAAATGCCAAGTGTCTGCTGATTACAATGTGTCACAACTGTCACTTACTGCACAGAAAGAAACACATTAATGACAATATGATGTCCAAGGTAATGTATGAAAAAAGTAAACTGATGTCAATGTACACACCATCATTAAATTGAATCGGAGAGTTGACACTTGAACATTTCATTTCAAACCCAATGTGCTGAAGAACAGCCCAAGCGACACAAAATGTGCCACAACAATATTACTTGCAGGCTACAAATTACATTGTAGTTTGAAAAAGAAAAAAAGGTGTGGAGAGACGCACATACGTCCATCAACATCTTGTCCCTTTAAAGGTTTGGTCTCTACTTGGTGACGAGTTAATTCTGAAGACTGAAACAAAAACTTTTGTCTGTAAATGTGTACACAGACACTGATTTCCCTTCCTATTTTTTCTAAGATAATGTATCGAGTGTCAGCACAATGGCATGCCAGGGGACAGCCACTGAGTTTGAACTTACTGCACCTCCATTCATCTTCCCCCAGCTCCATTAATCTTCCTGAGGGGAGCCGGTGGCACTCTAAATATAGGCGAGCCAGCTGTGCCAGGGACAGCAGGCAGCAAGGGCTGCTGGGAGTTACAGAGTCCCCTGGCCCTGCCACAGAGCAGGGAGGCAGAAGGCAATGCTTCATCATCATCCTCTAGTCGGACACAACTGCTAATATATATGACCTGCTATTACATGAAACTACTGTAGTGTACAGCCTCAGCTGACATCATAATATAATGCATTAATACAGATATAGAGTGTTGTATTCATCGATTACTCTACAGGCAACAGAAAGCAGTGATATTCCATCTGTTGTTTTGCATCCTTTGCTGGCGCTGTGCCTGAACCCCCCCTCTACCACCGCTGCAACCTCGCCACTCTTTACACACTGACAATTGACATTTACAGTGAGGTTAATCATACTGCTTATTTTCCCAAATTGAAAAAAAACCCAGTCTAACAAAATAAGCAAAGAATTTGTTTAAATGACACTTGGCATCCTATTGGGAAGTATAAACAGGAAAACAGCTGTTTTAATAAGGAGAACGAATGGACGCTTGAATTCGCTGTAGGTGGAATGTCTGCCTGGAGGAGGGGGGGGGAGATTGGGCTCAAGGGTAACAGATTGATTGGATTTCCAGATCTCTCCCGCTTAGCCAAAATGTACTCCCACTCGATTTGCTGGAGCCTGACCTGGAAAAATTCTAAAATTGTGTGTCGGAGGAGTGAGAAAAGTGAGAAGATTGTTGCAGCTGAGCCGGTCCAGGCTCATGCAACGTAGCGAAAATGTTTTCACTGGGCCACTCTGTCAGAGAGCATTTTTATTGAATGGGAAAAAACCCTTTTTACAAATGCAACGCATGAAGAGGTGCTGTTTGTGAGAATGCTAATGTCCGAATTGACATAAAACGGGATTCTGAAAAGGCTCCCAAGTAAGGGCCGTGTTAATCGTGTTTACATTCAGCTGGTGCAAAACTGAAAGCAAACAAATATTTGTGGGTAAGGAAGAATATGCATTAATAGAAGACCCTAACGAAATGATTGACCAGAGAGAAGGACATTTTAGCATTTCTGTAACTAAGGGTCAAAATGGTTCAAAGAACGGAAAGAGACTGTTGTTTATGATACAATTGCAAACAGGCTACATGATTGCAGTTAAATCTGCTCCATGCCCTGCATCCTGCACACTCTACTAAGCAAACAACCCCGGCCTAAAACAAAAGGTAAGGCATGACATTAAGTGAGACTCGGACAACCTCCTGTTCTGTGCTACATGTGTGAAAGGGACACTTGGGAAATGTCCAATCCTAATGATACATGCTTCATATTCATCTTTAGACAGTGTTTAGAATGAAGTGTTTGATGCAAATATGATTTAAAAAAAAGTGACTCACTTCATTCCATCCTCCTTCTCTTCAGCTTCATTTTTTTCTTCGTCCCTCTCCCCCTCCTTCTCTTTCTCCTCCTTCTCCTTCTCCTTTTCTTCCTGGATGCCCCGGTGCACTTGTTGCTGTTGTTGTTGCAGCTGCAGCTGCTGCTGTTGCTGTTGCTGCTGCTGCTGCTGCTGTTGTTGCTGCTGCTGCTGGCCGTGCTGCGTCGAGGGAGAAGGAAACAACGAGGAACTCAGTTACATAGGCAATCCCAGGTAACTGGACACACACACAAACACTTGCCAGCAAACTCCCTGACCTCTCCTGACACATGCACTTTAAAGTTAGGACGCATTCACTTGAAAAATGGCAGTATCGCTTGCATCCCTTTTTGTTCTATGTAACTGTTGTTATTATAGAAAGTGACAGTTTCATTTCATATGCCCACATTCATTTTCTGAGTGAGAATGCACTTCCTGTGGCAGGTCTTATATTGCAAACATTATTCCGATAAATGTGCTTTTAAAAACACACAGCTGCAGACGGTGTGATGTCTGGCAGTTTTTCTGGTGAGATAAAACAACAAACCGCACTATTGCATTAGCAAAATCATCAAACATTTAAAAAAAGAAATTGGCAGGGACTCCTTTTTTTTGTTTCACAGACTTGCTTGACATTTCGACGACTTTGATACACTTGATTTAACTGAAATGTAGATAATGATTTATAACAATCCTATTCATTTTCTGCATGGACAAAACAAAACAGGATACGAAAGTTCAGAAGATACGCTCTTTAAGCACCCAGAACCACTTCCTCACCAACTTCCTGTCTGTCTAGGCTTTTAAGGTTAGAGTTCAGATTAGTACAGGCATGCAATCTGAGCAAAAAAAACACTGCACATTTTCACCAAGCACACATACTTAAACTCATCAGAACTTCTACTCTATTTGATGTGTTTGCAGTTGCTGCCTGTGGGTACAGAAATTATAAAGAAGACCACTGAGCATCAACAGCACTGTGGGGAAAAAACTAAGTAGGCTAGAAACATTAACATTTGCATTAAGCTCTCACTTATCCCCTCTGTCTCTCCACTACCCAAACATAATCTTTATTAGCAGCTGCACACAGCTCACTCTGACATATAGCACGGCACATTCTGTCCCTCTGCAGCTACCTCTCTGTGTGACTGCCAGCTATTAGTGCTAGCTGCTATTCAAGAGATGTGGAGCAAACCGCTGGGTAACGAACAAGGTTTCTTTAGGAAAGCTGAGAAGACACCATCCATGTACCCACAGGAAAAAGTCGCCAGTCAATTAATGTACTTCTTTCTTAGGGCCCACCACCATGAAGTTGAACTGCTAGCATGTGACGCTAAGTAATATCAGGGAGCTCATTAGCTATAGAAACAATCTGAATGTGTGGAAATACTGCTGACATGATGATGTTCAGCAAAGTGTGGCATTTGATCAGCACAACTGTGTGACATTTGGGGTTTAGAGACCTCCTCTGTTCTGTAAAGACTAGTGAGATTAAGTGCACACAGGACAGATTTGCAGCACTACCATATCCAATTTCAGTAGCTTTCAAAGAGTTAAATTCTGTTTGCCTGTCGTTTTTGCGTGGCAGATACCTGAAGTTCAACTCTGTTGCATGCTCTGGGAAAACATGGTCAACTCTAAATAGAAAAACGTATCTGTGCTGACCAACTGGATACAATCACAGGCAAGTCTTTCTTAAGTTACATCCTTTGTATACAAGAACAATATGGGAAAAGTGAGTAGTGGTTGTTCCTGCCAAACGTGTTGGACAACAGAGAATAACATTAGACCTGGAGTGTAATGACTGAATGGAAAACAAATGTTTTCGCCAACTAGCAAATGGTATTGGTTAGCTAAGTGACTGCAGCTGACTTCTTTGTTGCCTAGCAATAGAAAAAAGGAGACCGACTGAAAAATCGAAATATCTTTTAAATAAAACAAATCTGGTTAGAATAGAAATTAGTTTGAGAGGTAAGAATACCTGGCTTCTTCCTCGGCGTCTGTAGTTCCTCCGCACTATGTTCTTATAGTTCTCGTTCTTTTTGGTCAGGTAGTAAAAGAGCACACATTCCGCCACCGTCTGAAACATGAAAACAAATGTTTTTCAGTCATAACCTGAGAGGACTGGAACACTTCGAAAAAACAGACAAAAATAAAATGAACAAATACCTTTCTCTCCAGAAAAGACGCAATCAGACCAAAGTTTTTGGGATGCTGGATGAACCTGCGGGAACATAACAAAGGCACTGAGGCAACCTGCTAATGAAATGATTCAAAATCATTGGCAGAAGCACTCTAAAATAAGGGAATAACACACAGAGAATAACAGAGGAGGTGACGTACACACTGACGCAGAAAAAAAACCTCCAAAACAAAAACATTGATCTCAGCGGAACTCTACCTCTACAAAGGATGTAATACTTGTAAAACATGTCATAGAATAAGATATTCAATCACTAGTGAATACATGTATTATTGTATGTTTTGGATCAAATTTGATAGAAAGAAGAAATGGAAGCTCTTTGTTTTGCATGTGGGTGAACTTTAAAATCACTGCTTTCACTGTGTGGGTTTGCTGCGATTTGGCAGTTTGCAACGCCTCCTTTCCTTTTTACGAAAGGTGATGATTGAGTTCCTCACCAACAACTTACTGACTTTTACCTTTATCAGTCACACATATTTCACATGCAGTACAAGACACACTTAATCTTGTTGTAAAAATAAGATCCTGAGCACTTAGTCAACAAAATGAAAAATGAGCCAAGAGATTATATTGGATTTGAAAAGCCTGAAAAAACGGTATGTTCTTACATTTTATTCTTAGTGCCAAATGCCCCAAAAGTACCGTCCGACACTATTTCAGGCGCATATTTGACCAACTAGGGAATGAAGTGTTGTGCTTACTTCTCTCTGAAAGTGTCCTTCTCCTGCTCGCTCCACATGTTCATAACCTGTCGGTCCTTGTACACCTTCATGGGGTCATCCATCAATCCGTTCATGTTGATGAACTTGATGCGCTGCTGCTCGGCATCAAACAGCATGGGGGGGATGACCGCCAGCTGCCGCATCTGCTTCTCTGTGTTCTGACATACACACAAATGCTGAAGTGAGTGGATTGGTCTCCAGAGGGAAACTGACTGACAACATGATGCTTATATTGACGTGCGCTATGGGAAACGTGCCCTTTCTTCAAGTTTTCAGAGGACAGGAGAGGAAGTTTAGGGTGTCGCGTTGGCTCAGCAGCTAATGGCATTTTCCAGGTCAAATGTAACATCTCACTTTTCTATCGTTTTTCCGTTTACAATAAGATCATGTCTAAGTACAGGAGGAACATGGGGGTAAAGAAAAGGTGCTGTGCTATCTCGAGTTGTTTTGAAGGTATAAAAGCGTTTCTCGAGATGAGACAAGAGAACCCAATTGGACACACCACTTGGCCTAATGGCAAGCTGACATGAGAGGACCCAGTGTAATGTGTGACTTCTGGATTTCACGGCACTGTGAGCTCAGAGCACAGTCCTCCACCACCTATGCATAACATAGAGATTGGTTTCAGACATTGTATGAGACACATTCAACATTTGACTTCTGCATAGACTTTCAAAATCTATGATAAGAAAGACTTTCAATATCTATGATAAGAAAGACTTTCAATATCTATGATAAGAAAGACTTTCAATATCTATGATAAGAAAGACTTTCAATATCTATGATAAGAAAGAATTTCAATAGGTGGGGTCACTCAGTGTCTTTATGCAAAGTAGAGATAACTGTATACACTGTATAGTTTTAGGAGGAATCTGGCTAAAATATTGTATTATATTTTAACTGGACATAAAATGTGAGAACTTAAGAGCTTTTGAAATATAAATAATACATTTCAATTAATTTGGCTGGTATGTTTGTATCAAGTCAAGCCCATTTTATTAATATAATTTGCCAGGGGGCTCAAACTGTACCTGAAATTGCCGTCTTAGACAAGATTGACAGTATTGATCTTGAAACTTTTTTAGAGCAGCTAAATGTTGTTTGAGAATTATCATACAATTATTATACAGTTGACAAGAACAGGGACCATTATTACTGTTGCATCAACAGCTGACACCATGTGTGGAGTATGCATGTTGTAAAAGGAGGGAAGAGAAATGAGGGAAGAATCTAAAAAAGTAGAGACAGGCAGTAAAAAAAGACCCACAAAATATCAAAGTTTTGGCAGCATTTCAATTGAAAGCAGCTGCGCTTGCCTCTGGGCTGCGGTGGCCTTAAAGAGCTAGTATTGAGCTTTGGTTGGAGCTGCTTTTCTCCCTACCAGAAATATTCCATTGACATACTTTAGCATCTGTCTAACAGTTGTATTACAGTGTATGCCAATATCGAGTGGCCTATGCCCCTGAAACAAAACCATGTTGCATTTATTTCAGAAGGCTCGAGTAACATTTCTGCAGGCTATGTCTTTGTGATGCTGTTTTTTATTACATTGTACGGCAAGTTACAATAGATAATAATTCATAAATAGTGGTAATGTGTTTTTGTTTTTGTATGTTGAAGATAAACTTCATGTGGGCCCACTTGATTTCACCTAATCGTCATGTTTTACAGTTAAATATATAATTAATCATAGTGTCTTTTCCTCAATTACAAAAAACTGGCTCCTTCAATTACATTTAAATATACATATATGTATATTAACAGTATATAAATAATTCCTAGTAGAAATGCCAGCAGTTAGTTGTGACACTAAACACAACCACACAACCAGATTTCTGGCCACCATAGAAACGTGAACTTCAGAGTGTGAAAACACCCTAAGTGTTGTGAAAGAGAAAGTGGAGGGGGACAACCCTCTTTAACAGAAGAGCTAACCTCATGCTCTGATATTCCATCGATGATCTCGGAGACCTCATGCTCACTGCGAGCTGCAGACGAGGCCAGCCCACCTCCTCTCTGCCCAACACGGCTGCAGAAGGAAAAACACAGAAGCCGTGTCACTCAAAACTACCCACAAGCAAGTGTTTATGATGAGAGTAGTATCGAGCCACCAAATCAGAGTACTTAAGAAATGTGTCCAGAAATGAAATGTATTTCCCACAGTTGAACCATCACATGTCGAACGTTGTGAAAGTGGTAATGTAATGAAAAACAAAGAAATGGCGTTGTGCTCAAACCGTGCAATACAAAAGTGAACATTTGAGCCCTGCAGTGTAGAGCTATTTATTTATTTGTCCTTGGTTTGGCAGTGAGTGTACATTATGTTTTGAATCGTATAACCTCACCTCTGCATGCGCTCCTGTAGCTCTCTCTGCTTGCGGATCTCTGGGAACTGTTTCTCGTAGTACTCGCGCACCTTGCCCTCCTTGGCTCGGCGCCGCGGGTTGCTTTCGATGCGATCCACCTTCTTCTCCCAGGCTTCCATCAGCTGGTCATAGCGCTGGCAAAATTTCTGTTCCTAAAGCACCAAAGAAGATATCAGACCGTTGCAGATCAGCTTAAACATCAAAACTATTTTCCTCTGTCTTCCCTTTGATCTTAAAACATTAAATGAATGCACCATTACATCAAATGAATTACAATGAAAGAGTGTTTAACAGTTACTGATAAAGCAAGATATCCCCCAAAGCGCATAGTGAGATTTGAGATAATCTGATATCTTTCAATAATTATTTTTCACTGATCTCCTTTTTTGTTGACACACCGTGAAGCTCTACAAATTCAGAGTGGGCTTTGTGTTATGTTGGTATATTTTGGGGAGTCTGGCGTTGAGCCACGGCGCTGGCAGACAGCAGACCAACGTTTTCCCAGCTTCCTCGCAGGCTGGCTATAAAGCAGACCGTTAAACTCGGAGGAGACACGACCCTCAGAGGGCTCATAAAGCACAAGGGGACTCTGCCCATGAGGAGCTCCCTCCCCCACACAAGAGAAGACTGGAAACTCGCCAACAACTCAGGCTTTGATACAGGTGCTGCATTTTAACTGTCCTTTATGTCCTCGTATAAACTGGAAAAACATAATAACTGTAGAACTGCAAAACAGTTATTGCTGGGTTGGAGGTGGTTGGAAAACTATCTCCTACTTGTGGATAGCTGCACATTTTTATAGTAAAACTTGATTTGCACTAACTATTTTCTTTCAAAGCAGTTTATTTTTAAGATGCCTGACTAGCATCACCCCATTGATCTCTGCTTTATTTATAGTCATGCTCTCTGGCTCAGTCTCCCTCGATCACTGGCAGGCAAGAGCGCATGCTAATGCTGTACAATGCTCATTATAAGTGGCTGGCAGGGAATGCAACAGATTTGAGTCGTTTTTTCTGATGACCGTGTGAGAGAATGTATTTTGTTTTTCAAAAGCAATGGCTTCCCCTGGGCACAGTGAGAGGACTGACATCTTCTTTGTTTTTTCTTAAAATGGAGACTCACTTCAAGGAGCATTTGGCCCAGTTTCACACTAGTCATCCGTCATGGGCCAAGTCCCGACAGAGAGTCAAACATTTTGAGTTCTTTACTTACCCACTGCTTACGAGCATGATTTCTCCTCTTGAAGTACAAGATGAGCTTCTTCCTCATCGCCTGGTTTCTAAAGAGGGTTGAAAAGAGGCATGGAGAAGAAGAGAGGGGTGGATGGATGGAAAGGAAAATAACCAGGTGAGGACATTCATAAAACGATCAATAACAGTAGTAAGTATATGATGTTCTCAACATTCTCTGTGACACTGTTTTCTACCCTCTGTGCTTTTCCCGCCGCAATGTTATGCCCAATAAACAAACAAAAACCCCACACACACACACGCTCACACAAACAATGTCTGTCCTTGTATGCCACTGCTCGATAAACCCAAACTTGCTTCTGGGTGGAAAGGACAGCGAGGTGAGCCAAACTTATAAAACTTGTCTGGGCAGGGAACAGCCAGCCACATTGCCTCAAATAAAGGTCAGGGCCAGTAATCTCCTTAGGCAGCGTCTCAGTTTGTCTCTTTCTGTGCGGCAAGACAGAATTGTATTCCTGACACTTAATCTGTCAGTTGTAAGGTCACGTTCCCCACTGATTTATGTAATCGTATTCAACATTAGTCACTTCAGCTGAGCTGCTCGGTCCTTCGGGTCACAGGCGAGGACGGGAAAAAGTGGGTTTCAGATGGTATAATAGTGTTGTAAACATTTTTAAAGATAGCATGGTAAGATTCAGGATCTAGAGCCTAGGGGTGCCAAAGTAAGTTTAACTTGGCCTGTTAAAAAACATATTTCTATTTTCTGTGACCTAGAAAGGGTTTTTAAATGTGCAGGACCGCTTACTATTAATCAGTCTAGTATCATTTTCATCTTATAATACAATGGGTTTTTGCTTTTGGCCTGTGGCCCACCATTAAGTTTCAGATTTGGCTCTCCAGGGGGAAAAGGTTTGGGCACTCCTGGTGTAGAAGGATAAACACACAGGATGACCCATTCTCCATTTCCCAAACATGTTATCTACAATAGCAAACCCCAATTCAATGTAAACAGTCCTAACTTCTTTTTTTCTTTCTCTCTCTCTCTCTCTCCTTTCACACCAGCGCTTTTCCCTTTCTGGTTCAGCTCCGGTTTCCCTTTTCTGCTCCCGCTCTGTTCACACCGCCCAGAGCCCGACTGGTGCTGCCGCTGCTGCGTCATGACGTCACCGTTTACATCGCTGATTTGCTCCCCAACGGCATTACGGCGCTCACAACAACAACAACTGCGTTGGGTCGATGATCGTGTTGCTTTTAATCACACGAAGCCAGATTAAATTAAATAACGACTTCTCCAACCTTATGCTTTTCTCCAGAGTGCCGTGGTTCATTGTTTATTAATGTGTTTCTGCGGCATTTACCGACCGCTGCAGTGTTGGCTGCTCTTCCACGGAGTTTATTCTCCTCCGTTAGCTCCCGGTTAGCTCACACTGCCGCTCTAAAGTATTCACTGTCCGACTCACACAAGCAGCTGATACATATCCCCAGTTCCCCTTAGCTTAAGTGATGTGTCAGTCTGAATTGACGCTGTTTGGTATCACAACGCTGTTATGAAAGTTTCTCTGGTATAAAATGGGTGATGTTAGCATAGCAACCGAAAGCTAAACTGACTGCTATTGCTATCCTATTGTGGCATAAACCGTTTCTACAGGCACATTTTACCGGCGTATTTTTATTATGATTCTACTTGTGATAGTCGGACACGACAACCTGTGCAGCCCATGTATTGATTCCATCCGATAGCTGCTACAATACAAAACAAAACGTCTGCCTCTCTCCACAATGATCAATAACAGTGAACGGATGGTCAAAGTAAGGTACAAATAAACAGAATCACACGAAGCCTGGTTAGTGTTGACAGTCGACCCATGTTCAGGGGAGGTGGGTTTAGTTTCCTGCACGCCTCAACGTAAGAGAGACGTAAGCGACGCCACCTCTTAGCTCCGAAGCTCTTGCCTCTAGACCAGTGGTGGTCGGTGAGCGCTCCCTAGTGGTCCGTGAGTATATTGGTAACATTTCACATTTTAAATAAATACAGTTATTTAAGTTTTTCGTACTCTCGCGGGAATATCTCCGCAGTGGAACAAGCTTAAGTTTCACTTTCGATTGCATGATATAGCCCAGATAAGCACCTTCATCACACATGTTGCCACTTGTTTGTACAATTTCCAGGCGATTTGTAAAAAACGATGTGTTTTTGGATATTTGTGGAGTTAGGTGGTCCGCGAGTGTTTTTTTATTGGTTAAGTGGTCCTTGGTATGAAAAAGTTTGAGAAACACTGCTCTAGACCGACAATTTTTTGGAGCTGGAAGTGAACCGGATTCCGGAGCTAAGAGCCAGCGCCGCCGGCGCTTTTCAGGCTCCAGCTCCGAGCCGGAGCTGAAAAAGCGCTGGTGTGAAAGGGGCATCCGAGTCAACCCATTGCAGCAGAAAAGATAAATACTGCCAGATCCAGCTAGGTACTGTGGATGTCAACTCTTACTGTGGCATATTATGGGTGAGAATAAACTTAATATGGCCAAAACCAGGCAATTGGATTAAGCCTTTCAGACAAAGATGGCATTGTGCTCTGGACACCAGATGGCAAAGGGAAAGATTAGTAACCCTGAACTCTACAAAAAGGTTTGCTTTGTCCTGCTCTAAGCCCGTGCCACTTCTGAGATATCAGAGAACACTGTAATTTTGTATAATATGCCTGGAAGATTAATACATGGACCAGTGACAGATGTTCCCCAGTGGCACATGCACATCAAAAAACAATCTGTATATTTGTTCTTGATAGCATATGCAAATGATATGTATACACTGTAATGATTTATTAACAGCTGAGTGTCAGAGGGGGTGCGTGCAGGAGATGCTGAGAGCCCAGCGGAGAAATTGGTACTCATCTATCCCAGCAGGGATGAGTGCCAAGGTTATCAAAACGGTGTGCGAAACAAAGAAGTCAATTGTGCTGGCTCAAAGCGATGCAGTGGTATTTAATAACACACAAACACACACACAGGGGAGAGAGGAGAGTTTCCAGTTAATTGCTTTGAGGCAATAATACTGATCAAACGGTGCAGGGATCAAACGCAGTGGCGACAGAGCAGTGTGTGGCTAAGAGGTCAGACACATCTTGTGGTATGCTGCTGTGCCAAAACCATAGTGCCAACGGTGGAGACGAGATATTATAACCCTCGTTCAGCCCTCTGATGTGCCTCAGTGAATTATGCTTCTTAAAAAAAGACGGAGCCTCATTGAGAGACATGGCAGAGCCACGCAAAGTGTACCCTTCTGACTTTATATATGCTGTAATTTAAAGACATACTGTTTTCAATATTTAATGTCATAATATCAAAACATTTTATCAAAATATGTAAGTCCATTTTCAGATGCAAAAGCTATGTTCGCTATGTTTGTTTGTCTTTCACTAGGAATGATCTGCTGCATTGTCTTTGGAAAAAATACATAATCAGATTTTTTTTTAAAAGGCTTAAAAACAGTGCACGTCCTTTTCCATAAGGTTTTTTCCATTATCGTTTCAAAGTCAATTTAACACAGTAGATGCCCCAGTATGCACTTTGATTCCAGTCAGTCCAAAGTTTACATAATGACACATTTCTGAAATGCCATTCTTTGCAGTCTGCCAAGGGGGAAGGGGGGTTGAGGTGGAGACAAGTGGCAAGTCTCTCTCACAGAAGCATTATACAACCGCTACAGAGAACCAATAGTAGTTTTTTAGTTTACTGCCAATGTATAAATGCAAGGATTTGTTTTGGATGGGTTCAGAGTTTGATTAAATTGAAAACAAACAGAAATCCTCTAATTACACGTGAGGTACAGGCCCTGTATCTCACGTGTGGTACAGGGCCTTTCTCATTACCCAGGAAATTAAAGTTGTTGCGTGAATATGCTAATTTTCAAGAGCATCAGGACGGCAGTGGGAAGCTGCCTGTGCACGGCGGGCAAACGGTTTGACACAAAACGGTGTCCTTCGGGCACGATTAACGGGCTAACGGGGGTAAACTAACAAGCATGCCACGGCTGACAATAACTGGAGCGCTGCTAAAAGTTGCACTCCTGAGTATCTGTTCTTTGTGTATGCAAATAGTTGACGTAAACAATTGTTTGGGTCACACGGTGTACCGAGAGGATGTTGCTTACTGAACTTAATGACACGTACACAACAGCCCTAATCACTGGATATATTATATATATATATATTTCTTCACGTGTGGGCATTTGTAGTGACAGACTTACATTTTGATGTTCTCATGGTACTGCTTGGTATCAGAAGGCTGATTGTACAGAGGCTGCAACACAAGAAAGAATAAAACAGATCAGAACATCAGCCAATTTCAGTTGTGTTACCAGATAATAAATGAACAGACGGTAAAATGATGGCATACATCCTCTGCAATATGATTCTGACCTTGCCCAAGAATATGAATGTTTGCAAAAAATGCTTCACAAATGTCGAGAGACTCAAAGTTGTGTCTGCCTGAAGCTTAATAACCCTTTCAAATTAAATTAAATTAGAATACTCAAAATAAATGTCCTCCAGGATACAGAGCCTGTTTTTGTGTAGCATCTTGCATGCTCTCAAACCGTAATTAGTTTCAGAGAACAATCTGATGAAAACCCAATGTTTGTGTGTTTGAGATTAGGATGGATGGACAGATAGTAACAAGTTCATTTCATTTCAAACCTTTATTTAAACAGATAGGTCCCTTGAGATCACAGATCTCTTTTACAAGGGAGACCTGCAAAGTAACAAGTAACATGTAATATAGTATGTGCGAGCAAGTGGATGACTAAAACCACGTAGTACAAACAAGTAGTTTGGGAATTTGTTTTGAAGTTAATTAAAAAGCGGTCATCAGGGTTACTTGTATGTTCTCTGTGGGTTAGGGTCAAAGCAAAATGTAACAGAGCACTCGTAGTAATTGTGTTCCATTGCTTAAGTACTGTAATCATTTTTATTTTACTTTATGCCCCTTCCATCTAAGAACTTATTCCTGGTTTCTACGAAACATCCTTGCCCTCCAATCTCTCTAGCCTGACCTTCAATATGTTCTCAAGTGTCAACATTGCAAAAACATGAGGGCAGGAAGAAAGCTAAATGTAAACAAAATTAAATCTCCGGTCTCCACTCACCAGTTCTACCCTGGGTCCCAGTCCCTCCAGTACCCTGTGAGCCTCTTCTGCCTTTTTCTGGTAAGGGAACACAAACATAAGTAGTACATTAGCTGGCCGCCTGCAACTCTGCCATCACCACGGCAACGCTGTGATCACCGAGGCTACACCGCTGCTCCCTGGATGGACGGATGGCTGGATGTAAGGATGGATGGAGGGATGGATGCACCGGCTATAATTAGAGCTTTTAACTTAAGCAGGGTTTCTTGCCTCAGCACCCTTTTTTCCTCTCCCAGAAAAAAAAAATATATTACTCACCTCCCCTGAGCAGAAAAGAGGAAGGGAGAAAGAGCAGGCAGGCCGAAAAGCAAGTGGGAGTGGAATAGAAAGTGAGTGGGAGAGGTAGAGCAAAAAAGAAACAGGAAAAGGAGGGAGGGGGAAAGGGCTTTGGTGCTCATCTCATAAGAGAGATCTGATGAAAGACAGGGAAAGATCTCACCTTCAGCTCACTACCTACAACAATCTGCCTCTTAAACCAGGGAACATAAAGCACGAGACGAGAGGTGTTGGGGCATGAAGCCGGGCAGCAGAAAAACTCCCATCTATGTCTTTGGATGACCTCTCTGTAGCTCTGCACCTCCATACGTTTATATTTAGCTCCAGCAGACAAATGTGTGAGCAGTGTCCCAGACTACCCCTCGCGATGCTCGCTCAACTCTTATCCTCATTCCACTCGGTACTCCCTCCTCGCTTCATAGATCAAACTGACCCTCCTTGGTGACACGCCACATGCTCTGTTGCTTTCCATCTCACTTCCTTTCCTTCAGTGGCCGCGCGGTGAGACTAGCAGGACTGACACATTCTCAGACAGGATGGAAGTACAGTGAGGGAGGGTTGGATGGAGAGGAGGATGTTAGAGGTGATAACAGAGACAGAAGCAGCCTGTGTGTATGTGCATGTCAACCTTTACTCTCCACCACCCACAAAGTCATGCTGCTTCCTTGTCCCTTTCACTCCGTCTTCACTGCCGCGGTGCCACAGGAGGTGTTTGGGATCTACTTCTAAGTTTATACAATACTCACGCTAACGGACTTGGATGTAAGACCCCAGAGGAGCTCACGCATGCAGCTAAACTTGACTCAACTTCTAACTCAATAAACTTCGAGTGAAGCCAAATGGCGCGGCTCCAGTTAGAAAACAAAAACGTCGAAAACATTTTACAGGTGCTGGAGGAAAAATCAAACTTAGGCATGAATCAGAGCACTGTATGTTCAGGCATTGTGACATCCTCAGTCCTTCAACAGTGCCTGAAAGAGATCCCTGTTAGATCAAAAATCTTGCACAATTAAAAAAGCGTGGAGTTTTTAATACAGCGTGCAGATCTTTGTCTGATTCGTGCTCCAGTTTCAAAGTACCCTGTGCATTTCTTAGGCAAAATGAAACACTGAGGATTTATATTTGCACGTACTGGATTGACATTCAAATGAAAATACAGTAGCATGATGCTATTATCCTGCCTTAACTTATTTTGCATTCATTTCCTCTTCCCTGCTGCTTCCTCACCAGTGAGTAGGTGTAACAGGCTGCACAGTATTGCTTCAGAGAGCTTGCTCACTACAAGAGCACTTAATGAACAGCAATTATTAAAACCAGCCTTCCGTCCTCGGGGAGTCGGGAGGCTCAAGGATTTCTCGTCTTTCCTTGGCTGTAATATTGAAAGCAGATATGAAAACAACACTGCATGATTCTGACCTCTAAAAGAGAGGGGGGGGGGGGGCGAATGAGGTGCATCTACATAGTATTACCTTCAACCTGTATGAGTGTGCATAATTACAAAGACAGAGCTTGCATCACACACAACCTTCGCACAAGACCAAAGCAGGGAGAGGTTGGCTCCATTACTTCAATTATGCCCCCCTGTGGTGACAAGCAGTAGTGCTACTCTGGCAGTGCCATTATGAACTGCAAAGCTTAGCAAAAGCACTATTGTACATGACGCCTGCAGCCAACAAGACATTTTCCTCAGCGGATCATATGATCCCTGAAAATGTTGGAGAAAACTCTGGGCAGAACTTTGAAAGCGTGCTTATGCAAATACAATTACAGCATTACAAAACTTCCGTACCTCCCATGAAGCGAATGCAGGGGAGAACACAAAATAGAAAAAAGGGAAAGTGCTACAGGGCCATGCAAGTAGACATGAGGATTTAGCAGAGCTCCACAGAATTATGATAATGCAGTCTCAGAGGGGGCTGTCTTCTCATGTGCTTATATCCATGACAGCTATGTCCCAAATATGAGAAGAGTGAACTTGAGTTGAGCCATCCTCAGGGTTTGACAATGGACTGTCGCTAGAAATGCGGCTGTAACCCTGCCTGAGAACGCTGGTGACACTGAGCCCAGAGGGGACAGATGACACCAGAGTGACACCAACTCAAAAAGCCATACTCAGGCTGGAGTAATTACAGCCAGGTGCTATAACACGGATAGATCAAGTTATAAAGTACTGTAAATGTGCACAAAAAGAAACACACACGATTTGACACACAACATTAAGCTTTAAAATAACAACATTATAGGATTTACACCTTGTGCAGATAGATGTCTGAAACTAAAAAGGGATGCTCATCAATTAAATTGATTTATTTTCAAAATGTGGAACAAATTCTTCTTCTAAGAAATGTCAGGATGCACAGCACGTCATTGGGAAGGTCTCTGTCTGGGCGAATCGTGGGTTTGTTTGTGAAAACGCACAGATTTTGCTGATGTTTACATTTGGGTTTTGGATGACGCATTTATGCGAGTGTAAAGAAAAGTGTGTCATGTGTCAAAGAGGGATTGGCATGTCATGGTATTAGTTAAGAATACCCTCTTAATGAAAGAGCAACTTGCAGGTTAGAACCCCCAGTGAATAAATGTGTAGGAAAATGATGTACTAGATTTTCAAGAAAATATACATAAATATTAGGGTTGCAAAATTCCGGGAATTTTCAAAGATGGAAACTTTCCATGGGAATAAACGGGAATTAACGGGAATTTATGGGAATAAACTGGGAATTTTCTAAATTAAAGGTTGGCTCTTCATAGGGAACTTAAATGTAGTTGGGGAAAGTATATTTTAGCATAATCTTGACTAAAACAAACAGATGCCATTCAAGTACACATGAATATCCATGCCATAGCACACTGCTTACTGCATGGCTATTGAGACCACACCCCCTACAGGCACTGTGCATTCCTCCATCACATGCACAGATGATTTCGAGAAGACTGGATCACACTTTTGAGCCCAAAGCACAAGACAAATGAAGCCACACATTTGAGCCTGTGGACTACACAAAGTGAAGTAAGTTTTGATGATATTATGGGGTAATGTATGTATTTACTGTTTAAATTGCAAATATTACATACAAATGTATTCATCTAGTACAGTGTTTCTCAAACTTTTTCATACCAAGGACCACTTAACCAATAAAAAATCACTCGCGGACCACCTACCTCCCCAAATATCCAGACACATTGTTTTTCTAGAACAGATTACAAATCGCCTGAAAATTGTGCAAACATGAGTGAGGTTGGGGGGGATGAGTAATATTTAACTCAACATTCCTGTTTTTGTTCTTCAATGAAACAAATAATTGTTCAATGAAATAATTAAAACTTGTTCTGTTCTACTTAAAAACTTTTTTTTAAAGAAATCTGTTGAAATGTCATGTTTTTTGTTCAATTTGGCATCGAATATTTCCAAAATTCCCCAGCTTAACTTCCCATGGAAACTTTCCGGAAATATTCCACCCCTTTGCAACCCTAATAAATATACACTACAGTGACATCTGGCGGAGTTTTTCTAAGACATTTTTACTTGAAAAAAGACCACCCGCGTGTGACGTCACATGAGGGAGTGCGGCCAGTCTAACGTATTAATAAACATGGATCACAATGCTAGTTTTGTCACAGAAGAGGTTGAAAATGTATATTCGTATGCATATGACGTACCACAACCTTATAATTATGAGCCTGCTAGGCGTCCAAGAGACCAGGAGCAGCCAAGGATTAGAAGAAATAACGGCCATCGGAGAGAGAGAGAGAGAGAGAGAGAGAGAAGAGAGAGAGAGAGAGAGAGAGAGAGAGAGAAGAGGATAGGGAGAGAGGAGCGCTTTCAGATTCTCTCGGTATCTACTGCTCTCCTTTGCGGCATCTACTGTTCTCTCATCGACTCTCGTCTCTCTCGACTAGTCGTCGCTTCGATCTACTCTCTCTCTCTCGATCCCGCAACTCTCTCTCGTCCTCTGCTATATCTCTCTCTCGTTCTAAGATCAATCTAGCTCAGCCTACTGGAGGAGTAGCAGGTCCTGCATTAGTTCCAGATTACAGGGGGGAAGTGTAACAGAGGTCAAGCTACATTGTGGCGTAAGCCATGAGTCATTGTAATGACTTGAGTAATGTATAATGTCCTGCTGTTGCATTGAAGTGCTGTGGTTTAGCTGAGCCTGAAGGCAGTAGTGTTGAAAGTCATGAGGACACTCCCCTGGGGCCTGCGGTAGCTCCTTTTAACCAGAGAGTCTTCTCAGGGCATAATGCTGTTATCTGGGGACATCTGTGCAAGCTGTTAAGGATTTAGGTCTCTTGCTCAATGACCACTTTTAGCAGGGTGACTGTTTGCCAACACACAAATTAGGTTCTCAATTTTTAGCATATTTTCTCTACACACCACACTTCTGTGGGGGAAAAAGTGCCTTGAATGTGTAAGAGAAGCTGTTCAACACTTTCAAGAGTTGTTTCCTGTGAAGTTGTAACATTACTCCTCGTTTCCCATAGGAAGATTGTTCAAAAAAACGGAGAGTGGAGTTCCCTGCTTTAAATGCTAATTCCTTCAAAAGGAGACTTTTCGCCACTAGGGGGACTGAGAGCACTGAGAATCACTTCATTATAAAAAGTGATCTGTACATAGCATTGCTGCAAATAATGCTGTTGTCAGTAGGACTCAGTCTGCGCTTACAAATGATCTCTTGTTTTGTTTTTTGAAAGAATAATTAAGTTGCTTTACTTGCATAGGTTATAAAAGACAAAGATGTTTGACATCATGTTTGTGTGTTTTTGTGTATACACATGTGATTCATCATGTGTTGACCTTTAGTAGCTTATTCTCAAGGCAAGAGTCCTGCCTTCCCTGACAGTACAGAGGGGGAGGCTGAGGGAGGCGATGAATCCTCTGTGACACTCTGCTTTTGTTGACAGGGGCTTTTGAGGATTAACAAGGTAAACGGAAATGACAGAACACCAAGAACGAAACATCCTCTGCAGGCAGACATCAATCTCTCCAGAGCTCAGTTTTTGGCTCAGAATTACAGACACCACAAGAGTAATCCAACTGTTATCACTATTGTCCAACAAATGCAATGAAAGAAGTGTACGGTTTTACTCATGGTAAAATATCTCTGGTTTATTAAAAGCTGCATTTACCATCCTAATGTACAACTACTAGCATCTCTTTTCTTAAAATTAGATCCAATAAATAGCAGGCAACAGAGAAAATTCAGCGGCTGTCAAAGCCTGACTTAGTTTAAATGTTATCTTGCATCATCCAAGTGGAGCAACACTGAAACCAAGCACCTAGCTCTCTCAGTCTGACATTCTCTTGTGGCAATACACTGCATATGTGATGCAAGTGAAACCACATTCAAATGCAAGGTCATTCGGTCTGGAGTGGTGGGCCACAGATTGAGTGTGTGGTGTGTTTGCATGTGTGTGTTTTGTACTGACCCTGTTCTCATCGTAGATGATCTGCACCAGGCTGCGGTGCTTGGCCTCGCTGGGTGGCGGTGAGACCGTCCGCTCTGGCTCGTGTGGCTTTGCAGCCTCCTCCTCCAGCTGGTGCTGTAGCACACACACACACAAACATAGATGACAGTTAACACTTAACAAATCCAAAAAGGAACCCCATCTTCCAGGAAGACCTGTGGCTCACTAGTTCCTGTTGTGAGGTTAAAGAGTGTGTGTTACATCAACCGTCCCCACCCCCAGCCCTCCAGTAGGGATGAGACTAACCGTTCTATTAGCCGTAATAGCTATTAACTCCCGAGGGCATAGTTAATCAAAGAGTTACTACAACAGCCGGTAAACAAAGCCAAGGCCCGCTGTGTGGCTGGAACATCCACGGAGAAATAATTAAGGGAGGGGGACAGAGAGGGAGAAAGTTTAAGAGAAGTAAGGGAGGGAAATGTGGGGAATAAACACCAGACAAATACTGGAAAACAGCAGAGTTGCTCTAATTAACAAACCAGCCTGGCATGCGGACAAACGTTATTTGGAGATTGTATCCCAGAAGCAGTTAATTTTAGTAATTACTGTCTACTGTGAACAAAGCAAAGAGACACTCAGCAAGTAAGAATTTGTTTGGCAGAGCAAGCTGAGAGGAAGTAAAAGAGAAAATCTGGCAGGAGGAGATGCCTTTATGTTCAACTGCCAATCATGTAGAGTTCAGTCATGGCTTCTTTGTCCATCAATCTTCTCTTAAAGGTGTACAGATAGAAGAGAGGAATCGCCATGTTTGAATCTCAAAGCACATTAACGCACATCTTTGATAGCAGATTGTTGAGGAATTGAAAAGCGTTGATGCAAGCGTCAAAACAACTGAGAATCAGAGGGGCACTGCTATTCAAAAATGCATTTTATCCAGATGTTGAAATGGTGTTAACGGACTAGCGAAGATCATTAAAACGCTCCACTTAAGCACCTCAAAAATGAGTTTATGAAGGTAGGCACTTCCTGTGATAATGACAATGATAATGTCAAATATTTAAACATTGTATTTTCAAATGCAACATGGAAATCAGCCGTTTCAAAACATGCCGCCGTTTGTAGCAAAAATGTGAATGTTTAACTTTTAACATTACTTATTTAAGCACTGCTACCGATCATAATAATCTGATCAACTTCATGTTTTTGAAAACCACTAGTAAATAAAACTATTTGAATAAGAGGAAGACCAAATTGACCTTTATTAAGTATATTTCTGTCCTGATCTTAAAAAAGAAAAACACAATCATTGAGAATTTAGCATAATTTTGAAAGCTACCACAAAACTACCAGCAAGAAAAAGCAGACAATAAATTGCGTCTCAATTTGATAGAATATGTTTGTAGAAGGTCTCGAAGCTGCGTAGGAGGCAGAAGCGGAGTGTATTCAGCTGTAACTAGCTGCCTGGAGGCCGAGGCCGAGTGTCGCAGAGTGGCGTGCATATAGCTGATTTACAGTTAAGTCAGCCCCTCCCTCTCATCTCCTGTCAGAGGCTTCAGAAGGGGGCAAGGCGGCCTCCAGAAGAACCACATGAGAGCAGAGCAAGATGGATCATCATGTGCCACGAGAGGCCGGGATAAGCATCTGGTGAGGGGAAACGCAGACATTCCCATTGAGACCCCCCCCCTCCCTCTCCCAACCCACCGCGGAGTAAAATAAAATAAACCAGCCATCATGAGATTGGCTGACATGACACAGGCTGACAGTAACCTAAGCCCTAACCCCCGCCCTTTCACTAACACAACTCTTTAAATAAAGTTTTACCCTGCGACTTAATTTGTCCAGATGTTTTAATGCTTGAAGTGGGCCGGACTGTAAAAAAACAGAAAAAAGTAAGGGGGGGGGGGGGGGTTTGATTAATGCTTGGAAGCAGCAGAGCTTAGCATTGCAATAGTTTACAAATTCAACCCGAAGGTTGAAATCAGATATATAGATTTATTTTGGTTCCTATTGCATCTTGGAAAAGTACCCAGATTAATAATATAATAAGTATTCATCAATGACTAGAAGCAATGTAGAAAACTAATTACTGGACAAAAGAAATAACCACTTTTGTCTTGTTATTATGTTATTTCTCCAACAAATTGTTAGGCACTTAAAGTAAAAATAACCACTCAAGTGTGTTTTTCTGAAGTTCAACATGGTCAGGCTTTTGTATTAAACCAATAGCTTTATAAAGAAATGAGGGAGGGGAGGTGACAATAGCATCATTTAATGATTAAGAATGATATCACTTGTATACTGTGAAATCACTGAGAACACATTTTTACATCATGTTTTTTCTAATATTGAGTATGATAAACACAGTGCATGGTAGGGCTGCTTGATTATGGCAAAAATCATAATCTCGATTATTTGGGTCAATAATTGTAATTGCGATTATTAAATGCGATTATTCATTGACTTTGAAAACGTCCATTTATTGGAGAAAAAATGTGAACAGTATGTTTTTAACAGTTGATTACCCTGAACTTTAAGTATAATTATAAAAAAAAAAAGTAATAATAAAAAAATTATCGTTTTATTTCGATTACGTTGTTTTCGTAATCTTTGCGAGCCATAATCGCGATTAAAAGACGATTAATTGAGCAGCCCTAGTGCATGGTGGAGGAGGAAGTCAGGAGGAAAAGAGGAGCTCCAGCGTACAGATTCTCTACTAAACATGGCAGACGGCCAAAGGGAGACAGCAGGGATATGAGTGGTTTGGCAGTCACAAAACCTCAGTCATAATTTCCCTCCTCCACTGGGGAAGCTGTTATTTATAGCCTTATATATTGTAACCTACTTTTTCTCCTAAATAAAAAGCTGAAGAGAAAGGGAATGCAGCTGCTTGGAGGAGTGCGTGAACAGAATTGTGGAACATTGAACAAGAAACAGCTACAGATTTTGAACGAAGCGATTACAACACAGAAAAGTGTGTTTTAGACTTTATTGCACTGGTGCCAACTAGAGCCTGGCAGGGAAAACCACACGTGAACATTTAAAACAAGCCACACAATGCCTGTGAGAAAACTCAACGAAGATGCCAGCACTGGCGAAAGCATCTACAAGCATGACGGATAAATCAAAATGTGAGCAGAATACACATAAGAGACATCACAAAGTGGTGTCTACTCAAATGTCTTCAATGTCACAAAGAGTTTTCTACACACAGGCTTCACTTGGGCCGTCCGTATATTAACGGTATATTAGCGGCGGCATACCCCACAGGTATGTTTGGCGAACCATTACAGCTTATTTTCTTTTTTTTATAATAATAATAAGTCAGAGAAACCAAGGCTGCCCCAACACATTATGTTGTTGGTTTTCCTCATTAATGTTACAATATTTAACCTCGACACATTCCTTATTAAATCAGAAATGTACATTTCATGATCTACCCTGCAAGACCGTGTGCAAACCGTGCATGACTACTGTGAACACTGCATCAAAGTGTGTGTACTGTACACAGTCTATGCCACTACTCCTAAAAACACAAGCACTGTCCTGTGTCTGTCTTGCCATCGGCAGATAAGTGTTAAAGGGGTAAGCCCAAACTGTAGCCGTAAAAGAAGTACAATTTAGGGAAGAAATATACATTTGTCATTTAAATCAATTCCAACGCAAAATGCATTTGCAGCTGGCCAACACAGAACTCCTCCACAGAGATACACAAATCCAACTTTAAATGAGGGAAATAAGCAAGGAACACTTGAGATTCTGCAATCCCTCAACAGAGCATATCAATAAAAGGCAATATAATGTACGAGCAGATCCATAGGGGTGCTAACCTCTTTCTTGCGAAGCTTGCAGATCTGCTGCTCCACCATGGTGATCTCCCTGTCCACGCGGTCCATGTTCTGGATCAGCTCCTCCTTGGAGAACCGAGCTGGCACCAGATCCAAGTCGGGGTCCATATGGACCGGGCTCACAGGGGAGATCGGCTCCAGCTTCCCCATGGAACTCCCACGGTCCTACAGACGCACAGGGGTAAAGGGGACATGATTAGATGTAATAAAATGGATAACATTATGATCCATTTTACACAAAAAAATGCATCAACCAAACAACATGAACATGTGTTATTAAAATCAGAAGGGAATGAGGCAAAGCGGAATATGTTCCACGTGGTATGCTATACAATGTTTATTAAAAACTGATTCTAATTAACTTGCTCATTGCACCCTCCTCTCCTGTCAAATACTTCCCTGTTTATCTCTGATTAAAAAGGCCTAGAGGTTACACTACAAAAATAATAAACAGTATGTGTATTCCTTGGTAATTCATTCTACTAGTAAAGTCGTAGTAGTGCTTCAGTGTCACTAGACCAAACTAATGGATTATGCTCAAGAGCACTGGCAGCTGGCTCTTTTTAAGAGACTTTGTTTAAAATGTGAAATTTGAGGATGTAGGCAAGACTAAAGAATAGTACAGCCATGTCTGGCATACAAATGTAAAGGTTTGTCGGTCACACAATACACTGCCTTGCTTTTAAACAGAGTAGCGATTTATCAAACCACTGATCCTCCAAGTACTCCAACGTTAAAGTAAACATTATCTGAGAATACAATCCTAATATTTAAATATCAAAACAATTCAAACAACTTTTTCCAAACTATTTTGAATGCATGTTGTGCTTTCAATAATCTGGAAACTGCTCAATGGAATCATATTGTTATAACGGCCCTCAGATAATGGCAGCAACCAATGGTTTTTCCCAAATGACTGAATACTTTATATAAAAGATTATTTCCTTGAGGAATCCCTTAGATGTTTGGTCAGTACAATGTCCATGGTGTAATTGTTTGCTCTATAAACAGGGTTCTTACACCTTTTCCAAAGTCAAATTCAAGCACTTTTCAAGGTGCATTTTCCAGCTTTTCAAGCATCTTACAGCTGCTGTAAATTACATATTTATATACACATACTCAAATGATTATTTCCCTACCTCACATTAAATCAGATGTTCTTTATGCTATAAACAACCAAATGTGTGTTTCATGATAGCATTCTACACGAGGATGAAAAATTAAAGAAAAGAAAACTAAGTTTAATATTTCAAAATGAGTGACCCATCTGTATGTCCCATATAACCTGTCTGAGCCAATATAAAACAATCAGCCAAATCACTTTTCAATACATTATTGATTACTATTTTTGAGGTACTTTTAGGTTGGCAGTAAACACAAGTCAGAGGTACATGGTGTACTTCTACTCCTCTACAGTTCAGAGGTACATGGTGTACTTCTACTCCACTACAGTTCAGAGGTACATGGTGTACTTCTACTCCTCTACAGTTCAGAGGTACATGGTGTACTTCTACTCCTCTACAGTTCAGAGGTACATGGTGTACTTCTACTCCTCTACAGTTCAGAGGTACATGGTGTACTTCTACTCCTCTACAGTTCAGAGGTACATGGTGTACTTCTACTCCTCTACAGTTCAGAGGTACATGGTGTACTTCTACTCCACTACATGTATTTAATACCTTTAGTTACTTTACAGACCTGGATGAATGATGTGAAATCTAACCAAGTGTTAAATCTTTAGTTCCACCTGGAGTAAATCCACAAGCTACCCTGCAGTATACAAAGTCATTCAAACTAGCTGCACCTTTACCAGCTTTGAGAACACTTTCATGATCAATCATTATAAAACATATCATATATATTATTCTGAAATGGACCAATCTGCACAACGACTACTTTTACTGTCGCTACTTTAACTAGATTTGGATGAGAATACTTTTCTACTTTCACTTGAGGAATATTTTGAATGCAGGACTTTTACTGTGACAGAGTATTCCTACACTCTGGTACTTCTACTTTTGCTAAGTACAAGATCTGAGTACTTATAATTTCACTACAAGATCTGAGTACTTATACTTTTACTCAAGTACAATACCTGAGTACTTATTCCACCTCTGGTAGTGTATTAGTCTGAATTGTAGCCACAAAATCACACAGAGCTGCATAAAAATAGACTCACAATGGTAACAAGTGGAAAATAATATTTACAAATGTGTACAATGATTTGTAGGTAATGCTGACTACTCAAGACACCTGACTTCTACATCTTCAAAGGAAGATTTGTGTTTCTTGTGTGACACACACACACACACACACACACACACACACACACACACACACACACACACACACACACACACACACACACACACACACACACACACACACACACACACACACACACACACACACACACACACACACACACACACACACACACACACACACACACACACACACACACACACACACACACACACACACACACACACACACACACACACACACACCACACACACACACACACACACACACACACACACAACACACACACACACACACACACACACACACACACACACACACACACACACACACACACACACACACACACACACACACACACACACACACACACACACACACACACACACTTCCCCCCAGACCAGTAATACAAACGAAAATGTGTCTTCGGGTCAATGTGACTGATTTCGAGAGAGCAAGTCACATTTGGTTTAGGCACGAAACAAACTACCAGTAGAAATACATTGCTTTCAAAATCGCTCTGTGTCGAATCAATAGATTATATTTCGTGACTATAACACGAAATGCCGTGAGTGCTTCATCCTCTGAACACCACACGATGGCGACTGTAACGCACATAACATAGGTACGCTCCTCTGAAATGATAGTCCCCTGCAATTATTATTATCCGTCAATCGAGTTCGCTATTCAGCTCGCTAACGTTAGCTTAAACAAACATAACATGCAACGTTAGCCTAATCTAAAATGCTCTTCTACGGCGTACCTTTCATGTGGCTCGTCAGCGCAGACTCTCGCATCGTTATTTTTGCAAACTTTGCAGGAGGCTACTCGTGGGCTTGACCCTCGTCTTAGCCATAGCTTGTATTTGTCTTCTGCTAGCCAACGCTCGTTGAAACTGCAACCTCCTGGCACACAGTCATCTATCACTCATCAGAATGCTCAGGTCAGAGTAACACAAACACTTGCAGGTCGCGCGCATAGCGCGGGAAGGCCGCAGCGGAGCTGTTTTATGTAGAAGCGAAGCAATTATTTGTCTTTTAATCTAAAAAGCGAACTATTCAGTCAGACAGCAATTTATTGTAAAAGTAAAGCATTTACATTTTCAAGCACTTTATCTCAATTTCAAGCACCATTCCCAAAATTCAAGCACTTTCCCAACCTTGAAAACACCACGTCAAATTTCAAGCATTTTCAAGGATTTCAAGCACATTTCAATCATTAGTTGCCACAGTTTTCTATTGGCAAGGACATCAGTGTTGTTTTTTATTTACTGTTGCCATTTTGTTCTACTGCAAACTCAAGGACAGTTTAGTGCGTGCTAATGTTTAGAGGGTGTGTTTAACCATGAGGGATTTGATGGTACGTAGTAGTCTGCATTAAGGCTGTTTAGTTTTCCCTCTGGTCTTGTGCCCTACACTGTCCTCTGCACTTGTCAACAGTACAGCAGCACATCAACAGCTACTACACCTGTGACATAGTGTGAAAAGGTCACAGGCCAATCGCTAAGCCCTTGGCCAGGCACAGCTTACATCTTTTAATGCCCTCGGCGACACTGGTCACATTTAGAACATTGCTCCGAATGATGTCTCGGGCTGTGCATGCATCAGGGTTTTTTTAAATTACCCCTGGGTGTTTGTAGCATGTCTGTGTAAATGTGTTCTGTTTCATAAGCACTAAGTCACGTAGTCTTAAGTGGAGGCATTCCAGGCCACACTTAAATAAAGCCGTAGACATCCTATTTTAATGCTAAGAGGTGCATCTAAGTTCACAATGGTCTCTCTCTTCGGGCATCAGTCCCACTCTTATGCAGTACACAACAGCTGGTGCACAAAACCGCTCAAACTGAGGTGACTGAGGTAAGATTAGCTAAGGTTTAATGTTGAATCTAGTCATAAAATGCAATTCATATTAAACTGGGAAGAAAAACTGAAATAAAGAGTGAAAGGTGTGTCAGTGGGGATCTATGGTGTAAACAAGATTACTTACTTGAGATTAATCAGTGTAAGTAGTATTGACGGCCTTGATAAAAAATATAAATATTTGTTCTTTTTTTTTTTTTTAATGTAGCTATTTGAGCCAATGACTGATTGTCAATTATATATGTCAAGTTGACAGACATGGATTACTGCTGTGCATTGGGTTTTGTCCTTCTTTTTTTTGCAACAAGAAGAGTCTTTGAGTGTTGTTTGGTGGCATATGACATGTCACTGCTGTCCTATGCTTTGCTTAACATAAGACTCAAAGAAAAACACTACTTGAGATTTTTGTTCAAGCCAAAGCGAGTTGGTTGATGGCATGTTTCATCTACTGCCAATAAAGGTCATTGATTCAGATACAGAGCTGATTATATTAAGACTGAAAATTAGGGATGCACCGAATATTCGGCCACCGAAAATTATCGGCCGAAAATGGTTAAAAAAGGCCTTTTCGGCTTTCGGCCGAAAGGGTTTTAGCACCGAAAAAATATCACCGAATGCCAGAACAGGCTTACGTTGGTAACCTAACGTGTTGTTGTGATGACGTAATAAAGACGCGGCGACCATGCTCGCGGCTGGCTCACAGGGGGGGGGGGGGGGACATTGACCTTTGTCATCGAGATTGCCCTGAGCCTTTAACAAATCGTATTAAATAATCTGATGACAGACTGTAAACAGAATAGCTGAAATTTTAACAAACTAAATAACTCAGTTACCTCTAATCATTAACCCATGTTTGTATCATGTAGTTAACTCCGTGTGTTGCTGCTAGCATACATAACACCTGACGTGGAAACGTTACTCGTGGATGGGGCTACAGAGCTGCTAGAAAGACGGTCGAACCCGGTACATTCCTCCGTCTGCATGCGGTGCACTTTTGCTAAATGTTTAGACAAATTGCTCGTGCTTACATGCTAAACTCTTATTGCACTTATGGTAACAAGTATTCTCCACATCGAGACGGGTAAAGTTTAACCACACCTCGGAGCGCGTTCTCTCCGCCATCTCCGCAGTGTGCTCCGCTGCATGTAGCAGCTGCGTGTGTGTAAACTGCCCCGCCCCCTCGCACACAGACGGGGGAGAGAGATCTCGTCTGATCGAAAATACATCATAGACGCATTTGTTGTCTTTGCATATTAGAAACGAGTTGGTGACACTAAGACTGCGATATCATGTTTTTTAGCAATAATACATGACATATATAAATGTACTGTATGCATTCAAAAGTGCTGAATAAATGTTTTATGGACCCATAATAGTGATTATTATTTAAGTTAAGTTTTGCCATAATCATGTCTATTTCCATAATCAGGTAGCTGAACAACATTGGTAAAAAATGTATACATTATATATATATATATATTTCTATTAATCATTTTCGGCCTTTCGGCATTCGGTTTTCGGCCAACTGTTTCCTATTTTCGGTATCGGTTTCGGCCAAGAATTTCCCATTCGGTGCACCCCTACTGAAAATGACAGCCGTCACAGAGTAATCTCTGGCTGTCAATGTGAGCAGCGACTTTAGTCTCAAGTGTAGTTCCATAGATTTCCATTTTACCACTGAATAAAACAATTGTCTTTGGAATATTTATTTGTCATGTGTTTTTGTTTCACTGGTTCATGCTTTTTCTGAACCATAACATAAAATGTGTACGTGTAAAAAGAATCAAAACTTGCCAACGTCAATACACCCTGTCGACCCATCAGAAAAATAATATTCAGCCCCCTGCAGTAAGACTTATATATGCTTACACTAGTCTGATATTTTCACTGTAAGACTCAAGTTAAAGTATGTGTCCAGGTCGTTGTTCAGTTATACAATCCTGCCGCAGAGCGTCCCTCCTGCCGGGCTGCTGACAGCGCTTTCAGCAAAACACTCAGTCACGCTGGACAGCAGTAGAGGAGGTTGTACATAAGTCTGGTTCAAAAGTAGTTTATCCGGCTTCATTGACAGTCAGCACTGCTCTCCGCTTTCCCTTACCCATCTCCACTTTCATCACAGTTAGTTTTGTGGTTTGTTTGTTTGTTTAGAGACAAGGCTCGGTTTGTAAAGTTTAAAGTGCTACTCTTCTCCTGCTCTGTGAACAATGACGCAGCAAATGAAAAAGTGCAGTTAATCGATTGCGAGTTGACTCAGGGTCATCTCAGCCAATGACTCGATTGATCAACTGATAGAGGGGAGTCCTTTACACCAATGCCGATAAGCTAATACTGACTATATGTCAGCCCTGCCTTTTTATTGGGCTGGGCTTTGATCTTGAGGGAGGGCCAGATATCTTACATAGGGACATTCAGACACAGGGTGTATTACTAAGTCTACTTTGCTCACTCATTGAGCAATTTATTGTACCTTAAGGAAACTGTCACGTGCATGGACAATGTTTACGAGCACCTGTGAAAACAAGTATTGAATTCTAACCCTGTATAACCAAAATATCTGGATAACTGTACAATGGTGTACTCGAACAAAATGCCGTTCTTCCCTGATTCACCTTCCAAGTGAGTCATGATACAAGCATCAGCTTTGTTTTAAACAACTGGCAACACTCCCTCTTTTATTGTTGGTCTTTGTCTCTTACTCCTCCCTTTCCCTTTTCACCTCTTTCTGTGCCTCTCTACACTCGCTCTTTGCCTTATATTCAGCTGGATCTTTCCTTCCATCCCCACTATCATTTGGTAGATTTGTTCCGTGCGGTGATTGCCTCTGACATGACTTATGTAATGGGTTTACGGCTCTCTCTGCTCTGAGGGGAATTACTGGCATTCCTGCTAGCTTAAGGGTCAATGTTTTTTTTCCCTGTACTCTCTGTTGTTGGTGTATCTATTTACCATTCCTTGGCTGTCTGCCTCCCCTGGCAGTTGGAAGCACTCTGTGTAATGTCAGGAACGCCTCCTCACCAGCAGCTCTACACTGCAAGCAAGCCTTTTTGATGTGCAGTTTCACACAGTTTCATCCTCGGTCGTTTGAAATCTAGGTCAGCTCAATTACTTATTAATTGCAGTTTCACAACTCCCTTATTCTCCTCACTGCGGCTCACATCGCTGCAATGCAGAACCTGATTCTAGGACTTCTGCTGGGTTATATCCAATAAAAGCCAGTGTGGCCTTTCAGGAGAATAGGAGGACTGATCAGAGAACAAAATATATTTTTATAATTAAGTTTTAATATTTTTGAGATAAAAAAGGGGTAACCATGTATAAGTCATATACATTTTTAATCTTTCAAAATCTTCTTGTAGATGTCCAACTTCTAAAAGCACCAACAATGGTGTCCTATAATATTGGTACATACTGACAAAAGTATTTCTTTCTATTCCATTTTGTTCTACTAATAGTAGGCAAACATGACATGGAAATCCATTAAGAGACTTAGGAGGCTAATTTGGCTGGACGGATTGATGCAATTCCTGGCTAAAGAGAAACTGTTGATAAGATTTGGGGCTCATTCATAACATGTATAGGAGTAGGATTTGCCTAATGCCTTACAGTGCTTATTTTTTTCTCTTTAGACTTTAGGGTGATTATTAAGATCCGATGTTGTTCCTCGTCAGCAGGTACGATCATTTGTAAATGCCTTTATGTTTAAATACAATAAATATGTCTGTAAAACAAAAAGTATCAATTCAAATGCTGATACACCCAGTCTTCTATTATCACATATTAACCATACATACAATTTCCACGTCCAGCCAAGTACTTCATGGTTTTCAGAGTCACCATCGAGCTCTGATATACTGCGAACTGTCAATATTATACAGTGTATGTTATAGTGCCTACTGACCTTTGACATATCCTCAGCCCCTCCCATGGGTAATTGTGGGCGATGGGATGAAGGCCTCATCAGAGACTCCGGTCCCATCTCCAAGCGAGGTCGTTTGATCTCTGCATACTCCACCTCTGATTGGTTGGTAGGCTCTGGCAGGTAAATGTGCTCATAGCGAATATGCTGCTCTTGCCCTCTGCAAAATACAAATGTAGGAGATCAGAGAAAAGCATTTAAAGCAACTGAAAGACTAAGATGAACAGTAAGCTAGAGGCAGCCATTATTGAAAGAAAAAGTGATTCGTCTCAAATGTAACTGCTAATAAAAGAAACACACAAGTTAGAATTTAAGAAGTGTATTTTCTTTGATTGATGTTTCAAATGAGGTTTTTAGCCACACTAGCATTTTGCTATCTGAATTGCAAAAAGACATTTGTGAAAAATGAACCCTTATGAGTATTAGGGATAGGAACGATTAATCGAATATTCGAAATTATTCAGGTATTCCAATATGAGAATATGAGTTATGAATATTTTTATTGTAATTTTTTTACAATGCAGCAACTTTTTTGGGAGGGGTGCCTAAGTTGATTACATATTATCAAATGGAATAATTCAATGTATACGACAGTGCCATAGCTAAATGTGTTCGGTCTAAAGGTGTGTTTTGCTCCGCTCACCGGTCCCTCAACAGGATAGCATTTATCCGAATATTCGAATATACATTTGCTTTCAAATTCCCATCCCTAATGAGTATGAGGCCATTTTAACCATTAGTGTTTCACCTGCATCATTGCACCTCGGGAGACATTGACTGACCAAATTCCCATTAGTCTTGGATGTATTATGAAGTTAATTCCAACATGACAATAAGTCCAATAGTGTTTTAGTCAATTTAAACTGATGAAGTCCCAAAGAGGAACAAACAGAAGGACTGTATGTGAAGTACCGGGGACAGGAGACACCCCCTTGATGAGAAACTGTAAGAAGTGAACAGGGGAATCCCCCCGGTGTGGAGTCATGACGACTGGATCTGAATTATGTTTTTGTATTTGGTGGTTTGTGTTCCAGCTGTCGATCAGCTGTCGATCAGCTGTCGATCAGCTGTCGATCAGCTGTCGATCAGCTGTGCGCAGCGTCTCCACTGCAGCCTGTGCGTCTGTGTGAGCCTGTGTTTATGTGATTGACTGATTTACTCAAATAAAAAGGTTGATGAATTATCATCTAATGATTTGTATGATGTTTTATTTATGTTAAAGGTCACTTTGAATGATTTTAACTAATGATAATGTAGAAAAACTAACATTTTAAATTCGGGACGGTCCACATTAATTTCGGGATGGCTTAGATTGTATTTCGGGACGGTTCCGGGAGGATGGTGAAAAGAGTTAGTCGAGAGCCCTGAAGTAATCACTGAAAACCATTTTATTCAGCAAAAGCAGGAACATGTAATTGTCCACTCAGTACAGGAAAGTGGAGAGAAAGGGAAGCTAGGAAATGGTGACTCACTGTAACAATAACATCTAATGGTTTTACACATTTAGCAGCATATGGTGGAGTATGGGGTTTAGCAGGAATTGCTTAGCAGTATAAACATGGTCATACATGCACACAAAGCCAAAGAAAAGTGCTTTGTTGAGACAGTAGGAGCTATGGCACTCTATACTGTACCCCAAAACTAGAAGTGATCTGGATGGCTAGGAATGCTAACAATTACATTACCAGCCGCAGGAGGAGGGGAACGCACCATACTGTAACGTGATCTACTCATGATGTGCTGCATGTGTGGGGCTAGTATAAACCACATTCTGCATGTGTTCGTCATTGGAGGGCGGTGGATAGCATCACGCTAAAGTGCACCAGTAAAAATGGATCCGTGGTGTGCAATCAAATGACAGCTTCTGAATGTTAACTGCACTTAGATTTAGAAGATTTTATTAGCCCACTTGTAAATGGCGCTCTGTTCTTTCTTAGGAAACAGTTTTTCAAGTCTGCCCTGGAGGCAGATGCCAGAAAGTCAGTGACTTTGCTGCCAGTGTCAAAATGGAAGTGGCTTCTGAAAAGAAGAGGGAAAATACAAGCATAATTGCTGGTCCAGGCCCACAATGGCCTAGTGTGTGGTTTATTTATGTGCCAAAGAGCATGGAGCCTGTCTCTGCTGAGTTGGGTGCTGGTGGTGGTTTGGTGAAACGATCGCCAACATCCACTAAGAGATTTATATAAAAGAGATTTGTCATGCTGTTGTTATGTAATATGATGGGCTAAATCTGCATGTTAAAGGTGTCATGGGGTGCTGAGGAAACAAACTCATTGATCAGAGTGATTGGCTTAATAGTACCTCAGAAAATTAGGGTGCCAAAATGAATACCCAGATGGCGTGTGACTACTCCTCCTCCCCCCCCCCCCCCAGACACATTTTTCTCACTCATTCAGTCACACACTTCCTCATCTCCATAGAGGGCTGGCACTTACATAATCACATCATCAAGCTGTAGCCCCCCCTGCACTCATCTTCCCCTCCCTCCCTCCCCCTCTTTCTTTCTCCCTCTCCCTCTTGCGAGCGTGCAGAATAATCTGATCCCTGGGGAGGATTTGTCTGGAGGATGAGAGAAAGAGATGTGTGTAGAGGTGGTGGTGGTGTGTGAGTGTAAGTGTGTAAGTGTGTGGGGAGGTGGGGGACAAGGACAGGGGAAACACAACACAACAGCTCCATTACTTTCTTAGTAGTTTGGAACAGAGATCATGTGTGCTGATAGCAGCCTGTTATTGTGAAAGCACTATGGCGTTTGAGCGGCTTCCAATGTCTTGGCTGTTCCCCGGAGGAATAGCCCCACAGCTGTGCACGGCGCAGGGATGGTTAGCAGAGAGAGGAGCCAGCTTTACTGCACCACAGCTGGGATGAATGAAACTGAGAAAGCGCAGGAAAGAGGAGGGACTATGTGTGCCAAAAACGTAAGCTCTCAACTTTTCTCTTCATGTAACTGAACAAAAACTCTTATTACTCACACAGCAGGGGACGGGGATATTCTCAAATGCTTAATGATGGATACAAATAAAGGTTACTTTCTTTCTAGAAAGGTGCATATGTTGGAAAAGTAATCAATTCCTAGATAGATAATCTAATTTTGAGTAATTCAACATTGATTTATTTTCATTTTTGTCAGAATTCAAAAGGCTTTTCTTTAGAAAATACCATTGCAAACCATTGTTGATCATTATTGGCAACAAAATGTCCAGCTATGTCAGTAAACTCGACAAGGATTAATACAATCAACAACACGACAAATACATGAAGTAAAGGGGAAACCTATTTGTGCATATTATTATTATTTTTGTTTAAAAACACACATACTAAGGTCTGAATACTATTTTTGATACCCATTTACTACATTCAAGTGCACAGATACATAACATAATAACAGCTATTGAACAAACTCCTTTAGCATTTTTGCACCAGTTTTGTTTGCACTGTTCTCTCGGTTCCAGGCAGACATTAAGTGGTTTCTCTGTGTTGTTATTCTTGCCATAAAATGTATTCACTCCCTTTCTCAAGTAGCCTCAGACAGATGGGAAGAGGCGGAGTGACTGAGATATTGCCTGAAGTAAAGAGGAGGATGAAACAAACAACTAGCACAGCGGCTCACCAATGATTATACTGTTGAGGCTTTCCGTCCTGTAATTAGGGCACATTTGAACATTAACTCAATAGTACATTATCACCTCGTCTTCACTCCAGCACAATTCAAGAGGAGAAGATTGCTACATAGATCTATCATACTAAGAAAGTAATAAAAATGCAGCTTCTAAGGGCCATGTTGGTGCTTAGGTTCTCTGTGGAACACAATGGAAACAAGCCTGGGCTTGCTACAAATGGAGACTTGGTTTGCAGAATTACTGAGATGTATTGAAGGACAAGCACACATCTGAGAAGAGGATAGATTGAAGTATTGCAAAGGTAAGAATAACTTGATTCAGACTCTGAATGAAAACATAGAATAAATGCCTCCGACTGCCCTCTAAGGTAAAGCTGAAAGCCTGATATACTCCACTGAAAGACTTCCTGTCCACAGAGCCTGCCAGCAAGACCAGCAGTTTATTTCTCATCTTCTGAAAAATAGCCTCACTTCTCCACTATCTAGTGTTGCACGGTGTACCTCGGCTTGTTGACAAAAAAGACGACAGAAGCGAAAAACTAAAAAGTTGTTTATAGATGATGCTTAATTGTATTTAATACAAATTCTAGTCTTTTATTTAATTTATAGTTCTCATTGTTTAAAAGTTAGTGTTATGGTTATGGTGTGAAATAAAGCACAATAATTACATTTAAGACTGTTTCCGAAAAACAATCGGAATCGCAATTCTTGACTTGGTATCGAAACCAAAATGTTGGTATCGTGACAACACTACCACTATCTCACAACTCTCTTTTTTCACCATACCTGTGTTTGCATCACTGTAACCAATGAGCACCTGCATGTGTATGAGAATGGCCCTGACACCATTTCAGCCCAGATTTACAAACTCCTGGCAGGACAAGCTCGAGCTCAATTCTCGCACTGAATTTTAAAAAAGCGAGTGAGGGACTGCAATATAAGAGGGAAAGAAAGAGAAACTTTAAAACTGTTCAATTGTTATGATGTGTAAAGACTGATATTGTTCTATAATCAGCTGAAACTGTTAAGTCATGATGTGAAACGGTTAGCAAAGAAAAATAGAAACTCAAGCTGCTGCTACACTTTATTTTATTTATCTAAAATTAAGCCCTTTTAAGATGCACATATTTTCAAAAGCTATTTTATTTATCTTCTCTTTTATTTTTAAATGCAGCTCGAGAGGAACATTACACATATCCACAGTATTTACTGTATATCTGTATAGTTCAATGTTAATTGACAATACATAGTTGTTTTTTTAATTGTACTTTCTTTACTTGATTGGCAGTCAGTTGTTGATTATATGCAGACGTTGATGAAGCTACATCTACTTCAATATATATATATATATCACACTGATGCATAAAGCAACTTAGACATTTGGATGTTCCGGACCTTTGCATGGGGACATTTTCTCTAACTGGACCTCGTTGAATTTTAGTTGAATACCCCTGCCCTATATGATCATTTCCTGTGAAGCCATAGCCCCACCTCTGCTGCTGACTGCTGTAGCATGGTCAGCAGCTACTGCTAGTGCTACAGAT